GTCCAAGAATCAGTTATATCAGAATATTGAGATTATTTTGTTAATGCAAATAAGTGAATGTATGTTATTGGATCATTTATTCGTTTTATATACTGCGAAGTTGGAACAACACATATCTAGTATATTTTGAAATGGCACGGATATGCTAATAAGGAAAAAAATAGTTAACGTTGATTTTATAGTTATCACACTGTTCGGTAATAATCTGTTTAATTGAATGGATGTGACTGAATATACATCTTTCGATATTTCAATAATTTATCGATTTGTGATGTTCCAGGCGTTGGAGAAGGAAAGTATAGGACTTTATAACGTATAAATAGGCAATAGCCATGGTATTAATTGGTATTTAGGGTATTCTTATTGCGCTTTTATATGAGTGAAACGTTCAATTTCCGCCCACTTGTATAGTCAATAAAGGTTAATGGAATAATCTACGATAATGATATATTTATGTAAATGGAAGAGAAGTGTGTTGCGAACAAATAGTTATGGAAACTGAAAACTGTCTACAACTTTGTAAATTTTATGCTTTGTGAACTTTTAATTCCCACGATATTTATTATAATACGGAAATATATTTTGATTGGTAATTCAGAAAATTCCAACTTTGTGGTATATTGATACAGTAGATAGCAGTGATTCGTACTGTGCTCATTCTGTTACGAAAATTTCATATCAGTTTTGAATGTATATGAACTGAGAATTTTAAATGGTGTTATAAATTAACTGAAAACTTATGTATGTATCAAAGGAAATTACTAAAACAACATTGACAATTTATTTTAAATAAATTATCAAATTCAAATCATTTTAAAATTTAAAGATTGAACTTTGCGTGAACTTCAGAGATTACAAGTATTACAGGTATTAGAACTTATATTAGATCCATTGCCACAATATTTTTATTCTAATTAGATAATATCAAACATTTTCTTGTAAATTGCAAATAATTATTGTTGCGGTATTTATTGATATTATCATTCGAGTGATAAGGCAAATTCAACACGTTAAAAAATTATTGAAATGTAGTTTTTATGTTTTTAAAGATGTATAATTGCAACCACAATATTTTAAAATATTTTATAAAATATATATATTACATAATTCATAGATAATGTATAATATCGACATTGAATATTCATCAAGGTAATGTCATCTACGTTTTAATCGTTCTGTCAAAAGAGTTGTATATTCCAGAGATAGTAATGTGGATAAAATACGCTCCCGTAGTCTAATTCAAAATTTGACAAACACCGATCTACCCTCGTTTGACTAACTGTACTTCCAAAATATATACAAAATTTACATGTTTTTGAATGGATTTGCTTTAAACAAAGCAGCAAGTATATTCTTCCAAATGTTATGAGGCAACACTTAATGGCTATTTTCAGTGAATTATATTCAAATTCAAATGTTCGCACTCTCAATTTGAGAAAAAATGAATCGGCAAAAAGTATTTGTAACGTGTCATACTTTTTTCTTATCGATCTTGATCGGTAAGTATATTGATAGGTATTTGTTTGTTTGTCTATCTATTTGTTTGTCTGTCTGTTATAGACACTTTCGTATGTTACGCGATATCTCACGAGGCGAGGTTGAATCTGCTCCAAATTTTGCATGTGCATTCATCATATCCCGGACCAGAAGCCTATTGATTTTGGATGAATTATGTCGTATAATTAGCGAGTTATAAATTAATCAGTGATGTGACACGCGGTGTCGCTATTGAGTCAGAGCGAAGGATACACGCCGCTAGATCGATAAGACGGCGGTTTCTGATCGCTATCTCGTTATTAAAAATTATCAAATTTTCAATACTAGTGATTTGCATAGACATTTAATGACTCAGAACATCTATTTATTTATTGCAGTGTTATAAAATGCTGATGCGTATAGTTTCAGCCATTTTGTTTGGCTGCCGTCTCGTCGAATTTTTTGCGCCCAAGGTAGTATCTGTTACACTGCATTGCTATTTCTGATGATGGTGCACCGAAAAGTACCGCATGATTGCAATACTCAAACATACATTGTTTAAAGTTTCAAAATTAAATATAGGAAAAATAGAAAAACCGTTTTGAATTTAAATTTTTAAAATCAGTCCTGTCTTTCGTTTGAACAGAACAAACAGATTTATTTGACACTGAGAAAATTAGAAAGAGTGAATATAAGCTGTGCTCATTTCAAGGTTTACAACTGCAACAAAAATCCGCGGTTATTCCGAATTCTGAAAACAAACGGAACTACCGAAATAAGCTTCAAATGATTTTAATTAACAAATGGTATGAACATTGGCGACTTCATTTGCTAATCGTTCAATAATATGTACAAAAGTCCAACTATTTGCACACTTTGAGTTTTATTTTTTATATTTTTGTTTCGCGAAATTCCTGCATTTTTGCCAGTTTATCCGAAATCTAGCTTTTTTTCTCCCCAACCAAAGTATTTAGAGCACATATGGGAAAATGTTATCTGGGGAATGTATAAAGCGAAGTTCACACAAAAGAAGCGAAATATTTTTCGAACGCTAAAAAGAACAAATATACGAGTATGAAAAATTTGTTTTTTTTGTTTGTCGAAGATTGTTGAAAACATTGTGATCATGAAATGACACTCCTTGAATTTCCGAGTTGAGTCGTTTGTGTTATTCATGACCAGACTGTTTGATTATGAGATTTAGTAAGGTCAGCATCAAGATTATCATGTATTTTTTTCAACAAGCTATTTTGAATGATGAAGATATAGAAATCGTGTACACAAAGCCTTATTTAGTTACCATTAGAGTAAACTCAAGTCATATCATACATAAACAATGTCAATTTTTTTTATAAACAATAACAAACAGCGAATAATGAATGTTTTGAGTATGTTTAACAAACTGTAATGGACATACCAAACAAACATGGTATTCGTAAAAATAGAGACGGTAACCAAAACAATCCACAACAACTTCCTTACGCATATTGTAAAGCGGCTGTAAACCAGGAAGTAGTGAACAAATATAGAACAATGAAATCTTTCAAAATATTGTCAACTCGACATTCCGGTTTAATATTGCCAACTTGAAGAATAGATAATTCATGAGCTGGCGCCTATTAATCACCTTTTCATAAACAACCTAATCTAATTCAATACCTCAACATATTTCAGGATTTATATTATGTTAACAATTCCGCTCCCTTATAACGGCATTGGGTTCTGGGACAATTTTTAACGCAGAACATTTTTTGCCTCAAACTAGCAAAATCATAATGTTGAAAATATGAAGAACTAAGAATAAAGATGTGAAATTATTATATACTAAACGCAGTAGTCTAGGCAACTTACACAAAAATGTGTTTATTTGATTTGTCAAAGCATATCCCATTACCGTAGCTATATTCACAGCGGTACATGTGAGGTTTTATGTGAGAATCGGGTTTGCGTAAAGATGACGGATTAGATATGATGCCACGTGGTTGCGCAACGTGGACTAAAATTTGGTCAAATGTCGAAAATGTGAAAAAGAAAAATATAGGTAATAGCACCCTGGCGTACTTATTCTATATTTACGTATTGAAATTGATTGGTCAAAGTGTATTCCGTGCTCCCGTAGTGTTTGTAGCAAGTTAGGGTTAGGCTATACTTTTATTCCAATATTCAGTTCTACTACGAGTTCGGGGACTGTCTGTTTTAGTCAAGTAAATATACCATAGGTTTCAGTCCCTTTACACAACTTGATGTAAAGTAGACGAACAAAATTAGTGGCCTCCATATTGGTACACACTTCGGGAGCGCCGTGTATTCACATAACTTTTAAAACTTGGTATGCGGTATATCAAAGTCTAAGATATTGGACACTGTTTCATATCTAATACCTAAAATTGCAACATATGATCAATTGACGCACGAACTCGAGTACTATACTCCGCAAAACATCATTGACCAAAGTACGCAAATGTTGATTTTCAATTAAACCTCACTTTGACATCACCGGTCGTAAGTTTCTTATCATCTGGTTTAACCTTTCAAATATATTAATTTATTCAAAGTTAAATTTGATTCGATTCTTAATAAAAAACGGATTGCCAAAATTAATTTTGAGATTTCATGGATATAAAAGATTTCATGTAATACAAGATTTGCATAATATTGTTCTCTTTTGGCTTTAAAATACTTTGGCAAAATATAGCAACGTTTATTAAATTTTCAACTAAAAAAAGTCAATAAATTTTCAATAAAAATATATATATATATATGTATATAAACTAATAGACGCTGACTTCAAAAAAGAATTTATGATTATATATTGCGGTTTTCAAAAGGTATTACGCAGCATTGAGATCTTATGTTGTTTGCGAGTATTTTATTCGTAACACCGCGGGTGACCTTTTGAATTCAAATTGTATTTTTTTTCCATATTATACTGGGATAGTGACGGAACAGTCCAAAACCACTACGATGATCTTGACTTATCAAACTTGTGACATTGATGTCAGGTATAGATAGCAGTTGACCACGGTCTTGCGATTCAATTAAACTTTTCTGAATGGCCTATTAAAAGATATATATAATAATTAAAAGCGTGGAAAAGTCGCGTTGACATGCTTTGAAATTCTTTATTATCGCGGGTTGAAACATCAGTTATTGGTATGACATGTATCTATATCCTGTGGAATCACGATGAGTTAACAGGAAGTAACACGTATGTAACACGAGTCGGTAACAGATCGGAACCGTTGTAATTCCTTCCCTATTACGTTACAAGGTGTGTAGGAAATTAAATTTCCTCTGCGTTGAAATTATTACTTTCGCTGCGATAGGCTCAAGTATGATCGCTCATATATACTATCGATTCATTTAAACTGCTTTGATGAAGTGATTGTTATAGGTGCTTCCATCTTCGCACAACGTGCGGAATAACTCCGACATTTTCATATTATATATACGAGATTCCCTGAAGGAAACAAGCTGGAAACGCTGATTTATCGTTTTTTACGTAATGAATGAATAATATAAAACGCAAATTTTGAGAGAAGCACATTTCAATAGGAGTTTACCAACAGAATGGTATTTAAAATTGGCCTATGCCAAACTATTAGGTTAATTTGACGTGTATGCATATGGTTTATGGCAGACGTTACATTGAAAATATATAATTACCCACTTATGAAGGTGGTCATTTTAAGTGTATAGAAACGTCATATAAGGACTTCCGTCATACGAATATTAAAAAATATTTAGGATAACAATTCGTTTAAGCTCAGTCAACAGCGCATTCTAAGTTGTTGTTTAGATAGATCAGCCACAACCCTAAATTACCAGGAGCATCAAGGCATTTGATGTATATGGCAGCGGAACTGCTGACGCCGGAATATAATAGTCGGAATTAATTTATAACAGTGGTTCCCTACCTCTTATGGCTCGCGGCCCTATTCCAGGGGCTTTTAGCACTCATGGCCCCTGTTAACCATTCCAGTGGTATTTAGAGTGTTATTTTGATTGGTAGATTACAAATCCCATTATGTTCGAACAATTCTGACTCAACAAAGAGAAAATACACGGTGAAATAAACTTATCAATCTATGAGATTAGGAAGAACGGGGAGTTCTTTTGTCGGGAAGAAGTAAAATCAGTTTTGCGCCTAGTATATTATATATAGAGAGAGAAATATGTTAGAAATAGCAATTAGATAGTTAACATTAAACACAGAACATCTAAAATCAAATTCACAGTGCAGATAATCGATATTGGTTTGGTCCTTTGATAAATGGTAACGTAATTAAGTTTCCAAATCTGTTTGAAATCTACCATCAGTTTAATTAACGACAGATCCACGCGATGCCTATTTTATTATATATAATAAAATCTATCTAGCGATGGACGATTATTAAAATTCGTCTCGGTTCGAATAGTTGCAAAAAACTATCCTGCTAATATTGCAAATTATCAGTAAAACAAAAATTTTCCTGTAAACCCCGATTTTGTAAAAAAGGGGCTCTTCAAAACTGAAAAAATGGTTTCTTCTATGATGATTCATCGGTAGTTTCTGAGATACGTAGCAACAATGTACGTCGAAGGTTGTGTTTTGTGCTATGGGTGGAATTGAACTGTTTCAAATTGATCAATTTAATTTGAAAATGTTATTTCATACTTGAAGTTATTAAATTTCCATGTTCGGCAATTGCCGTTTGCAAATCGCACTTGTAGATTCTTCTTTATTTACTACTTCAAAGTGTTACCACTATATCATGTAGGCTACGATCCGAACCACAGCGCTATTCAACCAATTTCTACGACGAGGGGTATCTGGTCTACCATGGGAAAGACGAGACCCAGCTTATGATTGGGGATGTTTACAGTACGATTAATCGTCGCGATTTTGACGATAGTATCGGATTTTGAAACGCTTCCGACTAAGCTAGTATGATTAATTAACCATTATCTGCGTTTGCCTTGCCAATCCACTACACCGGACAGATATATATATTATATTGTATACGAAACCTCTTTCAAAATGTTACTCAAAGTATTAGGAATGCTCTCAATCCTCTGCGTGATGCTTACTTATAGTTCACCTCTTAAAGAACTACAAGAAGGTAATGATTTATATTTTACATTTATCACAAGAAGTATATATGCGTTTTAGCTTTGTAAAGTGGAAGAAATTTTTTTTCATTTCAGAACCATCAGTAGTTGGAATATACGAACAGAATCCAGACTTTGCCGAGCCAGACTTTGATGCTTTTGCTGACCCATCTCGTGAGTTTCAAAATAATACTATTCAGCTTCATTAGGTGCGATGTTCCAACATAAAACCCTATTTTTCCTAAATCTAATTCATTTAGGAGAGTAAGAAACTTGTGCAAAATGTGTAAACTCAAATTATACTGCAAACTACATTTCTAAGTAAATATTGCAATTTATTTTTCAAAGAAACACGAGTACAAAATATCACAAACTAATTTCAACAGATTTAGGACATAATCGGTACTCCAACACAAACATGTTATATTCAGAAAATTCCGAAACAGGCCACGTGCACCACCTCACGAATGTCCATAGTTCAAACGCCATTTATTAGTTTTTTTTTCCTGCAATCCATGAAGATTATTCGGCATTTATTTTGCTGTGTACCAAAGCGAACTGGGTTAAGAATATGAATCCTTATTTCGATCGTTTTTCTTACCAATTGCATTCTGTATCCTAAGTTCTAAAATAATTTTATATATATATTTGCAGCAACTGGAGTGATTTATGTGACTATGACGATGGGAAGTGGATAACTGATAAAAGATCGAGCCGACGTATTACTAAGCTCTAATGGTCTGTTGTATATTTTTGTGCTCGGAAAACAAGAAAATGTTAAGTCTGTTTTATTGTTAATATTGTCGTTTATAAATTCTGTTGCATTGTCATAAATAAAACAGATTTTTATGTCGCATAGTAGAATTGTGGATCCATGTCGAAGACATCGAAAGCAATCATTCAAAATATACAATAACTCATCTATTAATACTACCAGGTGTTTAAATGTGTTCGTTTATGTGAAACTGTAACCGTGATAATGAAAGTATTTCCGCAGAATCAGTTGAATCTTATTAGTTTTTTGTCTTAAAAAATAATCATTATAAATTACCTTTTAATCAAATTATCGCTGCCTTTGACGCATCTGTTTATTATTGAAAAAAGATGGACATAAACTTTGTCAAGAATTAAAAGAAGTTTGAAAGTATTCGTGTAAGTGGAATTGACAATAAACGTGACAGTTGCTACTTGGTTGATGCATAATTTAATATTTTTCAAATTTCTGCAGTCTGCACCCAAATTTTTTATTGCTATTATTTATATACGTTTAGTTGATTCGTATGAGTATATCTTCTCGTTTCCCGTTAAGTTCGACATGGATATGATTCCCCCAATACACGTCAATTGTCTCGTGTGATAACCCTGGCATTTAATACAAAGATCATCTACTAATATGTTAACTACTGAATTACAGTACACTTAGAAAGCTTTCCTCAAATTGATAATTTTTTTTCTGAGATAACCAATAGGTACTGCTTCTTTATATATTTAATCTATTTAAAGAATTTTTTGTTCTATATACAAAAAGAAACTTCGAAACTAAAAAACATACAATTTACTTTGACTTAGAGAAACAAGGTTTTTTAAAGCAACATTGAAATTTTGCAGAAAAACATAGGTCATCGCAAAACAATTTCCGATAGATTGCAATCTAGAAATTTCAATGATGTGTAACATCTCAAATATTGACAGTGATACTTCAAAGTATGAAATCAACTGATATTATATTTTGTGCAATTGAGTGTACTCTTGATAACCACACATTGTGTCACTAACGCACCATTCTTCATCGACAATAAATTACCTGGAACCTGAATAAATGAGATTTATGGTATATCCAATATGTCCAGAAACAAGGCTCTTCATAGTTTCACATATTCTTCCCAAATAGACGAATTTGAAACCGACCCCTGAATAACCATGCTGGGTGTTGGTCTTGCAATAGCGCTGAAAGGTCTCATACTGACGTTGACATGAGGTAGTGCGTCAGACAATGCACTCACCGATGCGTCATCCATTATACCGAAGACATCTAGGTATTGCAGATTCGGCATGTTCACAAATCGTCTGCAAATAAGTAAATTGAAGCGTACAATATGTTTATCAAATGTATCGTATACAAACGATTGTACAGTCGGTGACAACAACTTCAGAATATTAGAAATAGCATTCACTTCAATGAAGAGCTACCAGTTTCTATTTATCGTTAAATATTTGGATCGAAACTGATAGAAGTGATTAAGGTGTCTTTGTTTTGAATGTGAGTGCGTAATGGTAGATCATCTTTTCAAACTGTTACATAAAAAGAATCACCCTTTTCTCAAATGTATAATGTCAATAATTACTCACAATAAACTATCTGGAGCCACAGAATAACATCGACTCATATTAACTCCTTTTAACGTGTCTGATAACCCGTGAATTAGCATATCCACCGCTGTAGAAGTCAGGTGATTTGAATCGCTGACATCAAGATCTTGGAGTCGTCTGCATCTTGCTACTATTTCAGCTACGTGACCGTCCTGCATTGTATTTCGGAAACCTCCAAGATTCAGGTGAGTAATTGTTGGAGGAAGTCTTGACACAAGCTGAACATAGAATATAGTTAATAGTGATGTACAGATAATAAGGGGTCGCAGAAGCCCCATATTCCACTCCAATTTATGGAAATCAACTGCCGCTTTCAGTACATATGACAGAACACCAACAAATTTGATATCAAGATAAGAAAATATTGATGTATGCTATCGAATGATAGGGATGATAATTACTGACATAACTTTTCAAAATAAATTAATCATATCATATGCTTGACGTCTTTTCGCATATAATTGGTTAAATAATTTGTCTTCATTGAATTTACCTCTTCTGGTGGGTATCGACAAATCGATGACCAAGAGAGGTTGAGTTCAGTGAGCCGATTGCATGCCAACAGTATTTCGATCACACCTGAAATAGTGACTTCTTTACATAGTGTCAGATTTAGACGAGTCAGGAATAAACAGTTCGATATGCATCTGTGATATAAACGTAGAAAACAGTAAATTTTTTTATTTTTGCCACCGGAAGTGATTAAAATAACATCATATTCACACTTTTTGAGCATATATATATATATATAAAATATTTTGTAGTAAAAATCATCGCGTTTGTCAATGTGCAGAAGTATGTGTACCAGGTTAGGGTTAGGCCATCGTATTTTAGTTCTATTACGAGTTTGGGAACTGTCTGTGTTAGCCAAGTAAATATCTCCCTGCCCATAGGTTTCAGTCTCTTTACACAAATTGATGTAAAATAGGCGAACAAAATTAGTTATCTCCCTATTGGTACAAATACTTCTGGAGTGCGAAATTTTGAAATTAAAATAATAAATACACCATGATGTAATAAGTTAATGTTACAGAAAAAAGAATGAACTTGAATATCAAATGAAATAAAAAAACATATTTTGGATATCATTGGTTTTGTTTAAAAGTTAAATAGTTTAGGCAGTGTGTTCGTATGAACAATACACAAATGCCATCGTCATAATCATTTAGTTAACTTCAGCAAAATGTCAATACTAGACGATACAAACCCGAGAACATGATGATTACTGATCAAATTTTCCAAACTCAAATTCACCAGACTTTTACAACGTGTCAAGATGAGACAAAGTGTGGTCGGACTGATGTTTGCGTTTGTAAAATCAAGATGTTGAACTTCGTAGTAATACACACGAGAAAATGGATCACGCATTGGACTGGACCTGTGTATTAGAGATACTCCCGATGTATGTGAACCGAGATGGCGGATACCGGAACGTAGTGTGTGTACCAGGTTAGGGTTAGGTAATAATTTTATTCCAATTTTTCTTATTAATTCTGTTACGAGTTCGGGGACTAGCCAATTGACTTCCGCAGTAATTGTACCTGGAATTATGGCCTAACCTTGTACGCATACTATGTTCCGGTGTCCGCCATCTGGGTTCACATACTTCGGGAGTACTCTTTTAGGCAAGCAAACTGATCTGTACATTTCAGATTTATAAAATGCAAAATATATTTATTTATTTATTAATCATTTATTAGTTTTTATCAATCAATTACCCTTCATCACGAACTGGTGTGTATACAGGAGTAGTGTTATTTCCGTGGTAATAGGAGTTGTTTATCAGCCATGAGTTATTGCGACGATCGTTGGAGATGGTGGCAGAATTAAGTGATATTGCAACAGCCTGATTTCTCAGAAGATTTTGCAGATCCAATATGTTCATCGTACGCTTTTTTAGGTTCAACTTTTTCCACAGGCATTTGTCATTCCTAAAATAGATATCTGTCGCTACAAAACAGGATAAACTTTATCCCGTGATAAAAAGTACTAAATTATTGCATGTTGTGACAAGCGGTATACAGAAATAATCCTCATGAGAACCATTTGTCCACCAAAGCATTTTTTTATATTTAGAAGTTCAACAATTCTCATTTTTGACTTGATTTCCGCCCAGTGGGTGCTGTTAAGAACGACGAGGTGCCTTATTGAAAATACTATATATATAAAATTATTCAGAATTGTATGAAGAAAATAGAAAATCATATTTCATAAAATTGGTACTTGGTGCACAAAATCAAAATGTGCATACATAATAAACCAATTTCAAGCACAGTTCGGATGTTCATTACTTAACTTTTTTTCGTAGATGGTAATTTAACCATATCTGGTATAATACATTAAGATAACTCACGCAATATTATTCCATAATCTACATACTTGTAAGCATCTACCCAGAGACGAAATATTCAGCATTCTAAATATGTAGAGTACGATTTCATACGGAAGGGAGAGGACTGCAAAAACAATATGATTGCTTGGAAGTAAGTATGAAAATATACGAGAAATTGATCAAATTTGACTCACTTGAAATATCTCTACTAGACGATGATTTTGAATATGGGGATTTCCGAAGACCACAAGTGAATGGTTTTTCGTTAGAAAAATAAGCAGTGGGGTTTCTGTTGAATCTCCAATTTCGTCGGGGTTTTTCCGGAGTTCGACATTTCAATATGACATCGTGTGTAGGACGCTTAGTTTTCGGCGTTCGTAACAGAAATTCTTCACTTCGTTCATTTGTGTCATCCAGCTCTTCATCATATGATATTTCACCAATGATTCCCAAATCATCATATAACAATTCTTTTTCCTTATCGGCCTCTAGGATGCACAAATTATTCGTGGAGTCGCTTATTTCGTCTACTTCCATTAGCCAGATATTAGATATGTTAAATTATGTTATGTTTTTAAAAAGTTCTAACCGAGGATCGTTGATAATGACATATTTTTACGTATGGACCAAACGGTTATTTGACACTGTGGAAACGTAAGCTGCTGTTACTCCCAGCACCCAGATACCCTTCAATTCTCCTAGTTCACAAATACAAACGCATTGTCCATATAAAAAATAAGAGTAAACTAGTTGTAGTAAATACTATAGGTAGGTTTTGAATCCTGGGTAGTCTACAACACCATGCTTTGACTCTTGCAACTCGAGAAATCAAAGAACAACGCAATCGATTGTCTGTGCACCAAAAGCGCGTGTGTAGCTACCACCACATCTAGTCTATATGAATGGTAACTTCTTGCCAGCAAACTGGACTGTCTCCCCGAAAATAAGTTACCGGTATTATTTTTAAACCAATCAAAAAAGAAACACATCCTAACAATCAAGTTATCACTGTTGATATTTCATCTTTCTCATTTTCCTGGTTAGGATGAAAGCATATTGTAGGCTAGTTTAAGCTAGACTAACTAAAGCTAGAGTAGACTGAAATAGAAGCCTTGTCGCTCAGATCAGAGTCGTCAGTGATGTAACAATGGGTTATCAAATGTAGAACCGTTACCAGGTTATTAAACTGCTTGTCTGAGGAAGTCTGACTTTGGTCAAACCGTAAATATTTACCGGTAGTCAAACGTATATATTTACGGTCAAACGAAACGTGATATAAATATGTTCATTTGTATAAAAGTGCAGCAGGACTTTTGAATTGCATATTATATTTCTATTTATTCTTACTAGTACATCGTTGCATTATACACACATGGATCAATTACTATAAATATAAAGGAACAGAGATAGTCTCGCAACCAAACTCATAATTACGCCAGTTTACTAGTCGTGAAAATTATTTAGATTTGTTTGATTCTATAAAAACTTATAATATTGTTGGAATTAACCGTTTTCATAAAATACATTTAAGTTTGCAAGACTCAAATATTTGGATGTTAATCCAGCAGAAATAAACCGCAACTTAGTATCGGTTGTTGATGGCGTGTATAAACCGCAACGACGTTTACCCAACGACTAAGTGTTTAGCCGACCACCGACCTATTGAACACGGCCTTGACCTATGGCTGTTTTCTTATTATGTTGTTGGTATTCTCCTTTTTTGTTGTTAATTATCGATTTTAACGGTAAGTATGTTGATAGGTATCTGTCTGTTTATCTGTCTGTTAGATGCCCGCAATAGCTCACGAAAGCGAGATTGAATCTGCTCCAGATTTTGCATGTGCATTCATCATATGCCGGACCAGAAGCCTATTGATTTTGGATGAATTATGTCGTATAATTAGCAAGTTATTAATTAATTAGTGATGGGACACATGGTGTCACTATGGAGTGAGAGCTCTGTTTTGGGGATCCCCTAACTTTCGATCGATAAGTCTTCGGTCTCTGACCGATATTCTCGTTGTTATTTGTTGATGTGAAAAATAGCGATTCTCCTTAACTACTGGACTAATTCTTTTCAATGGTTCAAGTGCAGGGTTGTCCAAAACGAATCGAATATTCGAATATCAAAGTATTCGAATACCTTTTCGGCTCTTTTTCGAATAATTCCGAATAGTAGCCACTTTTCGCCGTAAACGTGGTGTTTTGTTTTATGGGAATCTTCAAACGACTTTTTACGCTGTCTCACGTATTGTAATGACGATGAAATAGAATCGGCACTTTGATTGTTTATATTCTGTGCGACCGTACGTCGCATAGTGTTGCGACACATTTGCACGTTTGCGTGGGTGGACATTGCCGACATTCGTCTACGAGGCTTTTAATTTACAAGTTCATTTCCATTACGTCAAAAAATTGACAATTACCGTATTTCCGGGCAATAAGTCGCTTTTCTAGGGGGGCGTCTAATTGAGAAAGTATGTAGTTCTATGTGGCCTGTTTTTATTCGCATGAGTCTTCTCAAGCATGATTTGTGTAACTTTATATTTGGGTCTTAGGGTCTGCCAATCATGATATTTTATCGCAGACCGGTTATCGTTACTTTAATAAATAGAAACACGGCCACCGAGATAAAGTGATTTGTGACCCTTTCGTTTTGCCGATTCAGCAGAACACGACAGGGACAGGAAAACACAGCTGTGAAATAACCCGTGGACGTACAGTGTATTACTTATCACATTCCAAAATTATTTCAACATTCGGGTTAATAGGTTGTCCAAAATGATTGCCGTTTTCCAACTTAAATTTACCACTCAATTGTTTAAAATAGTTAATTCGGTAATATGATTCTACCAAACTCACATGATCTGGTTCTAAACATGTAAAATTATTAGCGCATATCAGCATAACTGAACAACAGGGACACAATTTTTCTACCCGTCTTATTGGAGGCCTATATGAAAAAAACTTTTTTGAGTGCTAAAAATAGACATCGTCCTATTTGCCATGTGGACTTATTAGCAAGGTGTCACTTATTCCATAGTGACACCTTGTGTCCCATCACTAATTAATTCATAACTCGCTAATTATATTATACGACATAATTCATCCAAAATCAATAGGCTTCTGGTACGACATATGATGAATACACATGCAAAATCTGGAGCAGATTCAATCTCGCTTTCGTGAGATATCGCGTGCATCTAACAGACAGACAGACAAATACCTATCAACATACTTACCGATTAAAATCGATAAGTAATAACAATATGAGCACCGACTAGTGGTTGATTGTTACTTATCGATCTTGATCGGTAAGTATGTTGATAGATATTTGTCTGTTTGTTTGTCTGTCTGTTAGACACTTTCGTATGTTACGCGATATCTCACGAAAGCGAGGTTAAATCTGCTCCAAATTTTACATGTACATTCATCATATCTCGGACCAGAAGCCTATTGAATTATGTCGTATAATTAGCGAGTTATTAATTAATTAGTGATGGAACACACGGTGTCTCTATTGAATCAGAGCCAAGGATACACGCCGCTAGATCGATAAGTCGGCGGTCTCTGATCGCTATCTCGTTTTGATTTATTGTGGGAATCTTGAATCAGGGTAGATCCATATGCTCGTAGGGGCGCACCCGGTGGTCGTTGTAGGATGCGAATTTGTTGCTTAGTTAGATGAATAAATTATTAATAATACAAACCTTTCACCCTTACTTGACCTTTAATTTATTTATTCTCATGTATAACAATATCTATAATTTGAATTCCCCCGAATTATTTTTGAAGTTAGGTATAAGGGTGACGTCATCGTCAATTGTGACGTAATGCTCCACTTTGGAAATGTCAACTTTTTATATTTAGTGAATTGGGCTTTTAGCTATCTGACCCACCAAAATTCAGGTTCCCCTCAAGAAACAAGAACTCGATTTTTAAGCGCTTTTCAGATTTCGTCGCTGGCCTAGGAACATTAATAGAAACGTGTCCCGGGCAACAGAAAGGTTTGGCACGCCCCTGCTCCTAACACTGACCTGATAGTAGGTTTTAGCGATTAAGGTACTCTGTAATTCACATCAGCATATTTCTATTATTGGGCCGCAGTGGACATATCGCGTTAGTGTTATTATTAAATGAAGATTGATTATATTCGCAGGTACTAGACTAATCTGTTCATCTTCGAGTCCAGCTTTGCTGCAATTCTTCGATTATTAGAAGACCAATCTGGTAGTTGTATGCAGAATTTTGCATCGATCTTCTACGGCAGAAATGTGTGAGTTTATCGGCGTATGTAAGCTGACGTATTTTAAGTGAGAGCAAAAAATAATTGCGGGTCAATATTTTACGTTGGCATGTTCGGCAGTAGTATTTGACATGTTTTTATATGTATGTTAAACATGGGTTTTCGAGTTGACCTCAATAAGAGATAAACTCATGTCTTAGATTTATTTGCAAGGAAAGAACATCGCGATGTAAGATTTTGGCAAACATTTGGTATTTGAATATGCTAACTCTCTGAACACATGGGCCAGCAAACTTCATATTAGATTTTAGGTACAATACGTTTAATATAAGGTTGCATGGTTAAGCTGTCAGGGTACAGAATTCAACTCAACTGAAAGAATATGTTTAAAAAGAATATTATAACATTTATTGTGGATAAAGCATAGCTCAAACATGTAATCCAAAACATGCGAAAATCAGGTCAAAGATTTGCAAATTCGAGTAAACAGCATATCCCTATACTGTTGCAAACATATAAATAGTTACGAGCTGTTGCAAATTTGTCATATGTCAGAGTTTTTATCCGTCAAGTTATTCTAGTCTAGTACGAGCTTTTATATAATTTTTTTATTCATTTACTCAAGTCTCTTAAATTTTCTAATAGTAGAGCAAGAGCAGAATTTTGAGTTGAAAAAAAATCAAAAAATAATTTCAAGAAGAGTCATAGGCTATATCGTCATAGTTAGTTGATAAGAGATCAGAGCTCTTATTTTATCCAGACCCTGGAAAATATTTTGATCCAGAATGCGAATGTAGTACTGGGCATTATGGTGTATTATCAATTTTATTTTTATTAGAATCTCCGAAGCACTAAACAAGTGTAATTAATATTCCATCAGAGATTTTATATACATGTTACAAATTTTTAGTTGTACTTCTAAAGATATTTTAGAGTTACAATAATTATATAAAAAATAGTTTGTTTTGAAACAATACCTGAAATAATGAATTCCAAAGCCATAATAAGCATTTTACTTGTGATATACTCCGTCGAAGCTCCACCTCCGAGGAGACAGGGTAAATATATACAATCAATTAACGATATACAGGTAAAAGTATCAATATTGATTTTTTGGCAACATCCGTCAATTATTATGCACTTGGGCGATTTCTGTTAAATACAACCGCTCTGCTAATCTGTGTGTTATTCTGTTAAATATATATGATTGCGTAATTTCATATATACTCATATTTCACCTTAATTTAGATCCATGTTCTGGCTATTTTTGAATTTTCCTTTCTCATTCAGGGTGTCTTAAACCACTGCGTGGCATCAACTTGCGTGTTCGGGCAGATAATATGATTGACTTGACATACGATTATGACGAAAGAGCAATGCATTGGCCGGGAAACCCAGCTGGTTTTCAATTAAACGAGGTTATTAAAGGTAGATGAACAATAATCAAAATTTTCTATGTCCACAGCAAACACTTTCATCACATAAATTGCGTATTAAGCCCAAGAAAATGACACAAAGAAATTGTTTAATACAAAAATGATCTGGCGACAGATCTAACTTGGATATTTGTAAATCATATGTTTAGTCGCATTTTTAGGTGCCTAACTTTGTGAATATTTTCAGGGTTTATAGGCAGTTTTTATGTTACGTATAATATGATGACACAACCTGAACACATTGGAACACATGTAGATGCACCATCTCATTTTGCAGAAAAGGGTCTTACGGTATGTTTTCAAATATAAAAATCATATAATAAAATATATTCATCATATAAAAACATCAATATCATATATATATTTAAATCAGAAGCATAGACGACGTCTGAGGTGTTGTTCAGTAAAAATAAGGAAAAGACGTGAGTAGAAATTAACTCCAAATAACGATTGTAGGTTTAGAACGTCAAAATAAGGAGTTGGATTAAGTGTCCACGACGTGCAATTTACAAACAAATAAATAGTGAGCACCTGTTAACATTTTTATTCAGATGGAACAAGTCGACTTGTTTAATCTTATCGGAAATGGAGTTCTGCTGGATTTGAAAAACAAAGAAGGATTTGACAGCGACGCATTCATCACAGTGGATGATTTTCTTGAATGGGAACGAGAGAATAAGGGTAAATTAAACAGCGAAAATTGATGAAGCGCTATATACATTATATAACAATTTTTCATTTCAGGAAATTTCAAATTTTTATTCAGAATAAACACATAAATTAAAACTAAAAAAGTAAATTTGTCACGACATTACTCAAATATAAAAAAAAACATGTTATCTAAATTAATATTGCAGGTAGAATACGTTCGGGAAGTATAGTATTGTTGTACACCGGCCATGGTGACGTATACTACGATAGATCCAAGTACGTGGGAACGAACATTACTGGAGAAGAAGGCATTTCCCATTTCCGATACCCGGGTCTCCATCCAAGTGCTGCTGAATGGCTGGTAACCAAAAGATGCATTGCTGCTGTTGGGATCGATACCGCCAGTTTAGACCAAGCAAAGTCGACAACCTTTGGGTATTTACATAGGCAGTGTATGAATAATTTTTTAGAGTAAATTAAAACAATAATACTTATGATACAGAAATATCACAATTTCTTAAAATCAAAGTCATCATTTTTTATACAAAAAGTTTGGACCTAGACAATTCTCATTCGCACTGGCTTTAGCATAAAATTTACAAAAATGAAGAAGAATATAATTTACACTTTCTTCAAAAAGAAACAACAAAACTAAATCTAACTCGCCAACGGGCCTTTGAACTTCAATCGCATTTGTGAGCTTGCTATATATTTTTTACAGAGCACATACAACATTGAGCGCACACAATATACCCATATTTGAGAATATTGCAAATCTTGATAAACTTGCAACGTCAAGAAGAAAATTCAACATTATTGCACTGCCACAGAAGATAGCTGGTGGGAGTGGAGCTCCAGTACGAGTAGTTGCCGTGATGAACTAATCTAGTTCAGATCATATTGAGTTTCATTAAAACCGATAATTTTATGTTTTATGTTTCAAGTGTTAATTATATATAAATTTACATCAAATCAAATATATATAGTCCACACAGAAACATTTTCTAATTTTTATTTTGTATAATGATTTATTGAATTATCGGACTCCTCTATAGTATTAGCGGATTATATTAGGGACAACGACATTGGTAGTTTGTTCATGTTGGGATAGTTTTGAGCATAAAGTTCACGGCGTTTCTAATTATTACAAAAATACAAGATTTCTGGTGGTACTGGACTGGTTGCAAATCAAGCTTTCGTACATGCATTTTTAACAAAAACATCGCCTTAGTTATAAAATAATAAAACACTGAATCATCATTTTAATTATTTTTTAAAATATTATACAAAGCACGTAGTTATAAAATGCCCCTATTAGTATTGCTCTGAACTTTGGATGTAATATGGTGTATGTTTTTTTTAAAACGATAATCTTCGACTAATGGACGCACGGACTTTTATTTGGATGACGCTTGCATTCCCCGCTTAAAAATAAATCAACTAAACCACGTAACATATTTTTGAGGATTCAGACATTTATACACCCCTGGTAATTTTGGGGAATACTGTCAAGATTTGTTCTTAACGAGTTTTCACTAAACCGATTCAGATGAAAGCTTGGCTAACCAGCCGATTGCACAAGGACACGGAACTCTCGAATGCTTGGAATTTTCGAGGAATTTCATCGTCATTCAATGAGTAGAATAGTAATTAGTGATTGCCATTGATGATAAAGTGATATCAATTAAACATTTCGTACAAACAAATCAAATTTTATAAGATATGCTGTTGGGACAAATGTCTGAAGAGGAAAACAATGAAAAAATTTTACATTAGCGAATATTGGCTCAATACGGTACAATCGTGAAATTGTTTTTGTAAGTTCACAAAGTCGTCTCTACCTAATATTCTCCAGGGGCTGTGGTCTTTGCGATTTGGGAAGAAAAACTTTTATTGGCCCACTACAAAAAGTGACTTGCCAACCACACAACGCCATAGAATGTATATTGAAATATAGTCTGAATTAGCATTATTTTACAAGTGTTCAATAAAGAGGAAATATGATAATTTGAAATTTATTTCGACATACGTTATAGTTTGTAAATTCAACATACCACATTTAAGTTTTAACTTTGGACATTCCTATATATATATGTGTTTTCCGAATTTTCGTTGTTTGTCCATAATACCGCATTATAGTTGATTAAACATTCATATATATATTTTCAGAAGAAAAGAAGCAGCATCCTTAGTTCTTTTATCAATTTCCTTACATATTTCTCCCAAGTACAATTAAAAAGTTTGTGTTTGGAGGGTGTGTTTGGAATGAGTTTTCATTTTCTTTATTTGCTCCTAAAAATTTATTCTACATTAATTTGTATTACCTACTATAAAATATATAATTAAGGCAGATGCTAAAATATACGGACACAAGGGACAAATGACTGATGTGGCCAAATATTCAGTAGTCTTCCGGTTACAGATAATATTCAGGACAAGATATGACATTTGCCAGTATGATGATTTTTTGATCTGTTAGAATTCTTCAATTTTAATTCGCTACTTCGCAATCTATTCGAAATAAATCATAGTGGTTCTTCTGAATCATCCAGTTCCTGTCACTAATCTGTTGTTCTTTTCATGGTTGTGCAGTTTTTGGACACGTTTAGTGGCCATAACGATCGTTTCAAAATTTTGTTGTTATTGTTATTTTCTTTCGTCATTATCATTAAAAAATCGCTTTTCTCTTCGAATACTGGACCAATTGCTTTGAAATTTTCAGTGGTTAAAGATAAAAATTTTCTCCAGAAGGATATTACTATTTTTTTCGCTATGACGTCATCAAACTTATTGCCATTGGGTGGCGCTACGTGTCCATATATTTGAGCATAGCTATCTTGTTTTATGTGTTATCATCGGCTGGTATTATATTATTCACGACAGGGCGGGCTCCTTTGCCTATTTTGCAGCTTTGTTTACATTTCGGGCTGAAATAAAATCGCATATCACATGTTAAATATTTACGAAAATATGGAACCAGTTAGTAAATTTGCGATTTTTATGAAAAACATTGATCTACGCAGTGAATCGAATTGTATCGAAATCGTCGCTCTGATGATAACTCGAGTTGGAATGGATTTCTATTTTATACTATATATAATCCCAGTCTCTGAAAAAAGATGGCTGAAGTCAATTCAATACTAAACATTACACAACCGCCATGCACGTCTCCGATACCACAACATCGAGATTGAAGCAGGGTTAATTTCCTAAATTTCGACTCCGTGCACCCCATTGTTTTGCAGGTAGTTGACGTTCTTCCTAGATGCGGCGGCAGTTGTCTGCAATTTTCCAATGTTTATTTGGAACAGTGGAAGGGAGATAGTCGGCCATATTTAATATTCTTTTTTTTTCGCAATCAGAGAGAAAGCATAAACTTCCAAGCTTGCATGATGTCCAGAACAATCGGAGCTCTGACGGCTGTTGCATTCGCGACGAGGTGAAAATTATTAATCTCATTAATAAATAGACTACAGAAATAGCCTATGCCCGAGATGGCGAACCACTGACCCGCGGTTCCGCGTTTTATTCGTGACCCACCAAGGCACGAATAAAATAAAAATAAAATACTAACATAGGGCTGCGATTGCTCATATTTGAATTGTTAATTCCTGGCCGGTATGGTAATTTTCAAAACCCCTGATCTTAGACGCATGTCTGCACCGCTGTGTACCGGTACCTTTATTCGGCGCTCCGGGAGGATGTGTACCAAGATGACGCATACCGGTAACCTGAAACCTAACCTGGTACACATACCATGTTCAGGTTGTGCGTCATCTTGGTACACATACTTTGGGAGCATCCTTTATTCAGCTATTGCTGTATTGGCTCAGACATCGTTTATGACATAACAATGCAATTGATATTCATATCTCGCAACGTCTTGTCTCTTCAGGAAGTGCATTTGCAGACTGTTTTAGGGGGTTATGCGAGAACAATGACGTTAAACAATGTCATTTGCGAGAACTAGAAGCTACTTTGCATTTTATTAGTTTCCCGCCTGCAATGCCGTTTAGAAAACAAAATTTTTCAGACTAGAAATAAAAACCTAGAAATAACAATGGGGCAGTGTAAAAGTGCCTTAATGTAGTATAAAGCTGATCGAAAAGTTTAACACTATCAGAGTGGAATTCCCTCCAAACTCTTTGGAGGGGATTCACCGTAAATAATTTGCGCATCATCCTAAACGTATTTGGTAATTCATATGCGTGTTTTCGTACTCTAATTTCATAAAATCGAGTGCCATAAAAGTCCCTGATAGAAGACATGCTAATATGATATGTTTCAGAAGTTTCTTATTGATCACATATCTGTGACCCACTATCTTCTGTTCCGCGATGAAAATATAATTTTTTGACCCATTCTCTGAAAAAGGTTCGCCATCCCTGGCCTATGCAATCAACTGAAATTTGAAAACGCCGGATTTTTAACACCCAAACAATATATTCCTTTACCGGTGTAAATGGCGCTACCTTTAACTCTGATAAGCTATGACAGTATGGAGACAACATATAATTGTGAGCTAATCTTTGAACCTACGCCTGAAACTCTGAGTGTAAAAGGTGTCTGATTGACTGCAAAATTTAGGAAAGGTTGACATGACCATCATCTATGATTTTTCATATTATTCCAGTATTCGGTAACCATGATTTTAATGAGTATTCATACAGAAATATCATTAATAGACTACTGTAATAGGACCCTAACACATCACATTGTTAATTGATATGGTCTTATGATCTTATCTATAAAGTATGATCTCAATTATGGCATGGTATATGTAAAAAAAAAACTGTCGGGCGATCATCAAAAAATTCTGTTTAGGCAATAGCCGATACTGTGATATAGTGTTAGAAAATAAATCTGATGAATAGACGATTTATGAATATATGTTATTTTTAGGTTTCACAATCTGTCTATACCATCATATGTTTGTTGGGATGAAACTCATTTTGGAAGGATGGCAGGATCTTATCTAAATCAAACCTATTTTGTAGATGTTCATCCACCCCTTGGCAAAATGTTGTTAGCTCTTGCAGGTAGTTTTAATCTTTTATAATTTATTTATATCTTTCTAATATATAAGGTGAATATTGCCACTCTAAAATATATATATAGTATTTGTAGCAAGCTTTTTGAAACATTTTCAAGTTAGTCTTAATTCATTATACATTAAGGGGTACCCCTATATTTCAATGTATGAAAACACAATACGCATCTTTATTGAAACAAATGGTGCCGTTGGGTACGATGCCAAAATGTACGATCACACGAATGACGTTGTTGGGTACGAACGATGCCAAAACTGTATGATCCCGCTATGTTTGCAGAAACATTGATAAATCACTTGGCTGTGATCAAAAACTGTATTCTTTGTTGAAGATTGTTTTGCTGATAGATGTTGCACTTCAATCAACTTTTTCTTTTGATGACTTATTCTATTACCAGACATCTCAGTAAGAAGGAATGTTTGTGTATCATTATAATGGATTTCTTTAAATTTCAAGACTGTTGCTCCATGGTAAAAAAGTGCTGTACTGCCATTACTCATAGTATTACAAAAAAATCGATAAGTTTATTTAATGGCGCATCATGCTATGCATGGTATCAACAAAGATTTCTTCATTATATCCAACTTGAACATAAAGTAATTCGAATATTTGGATAATAATATTAAAATATGAAATCAGACAAAAGCAAAATAGTTTAGTTTTTTCATAATAGTTGAACAATGTTTCTCATGATTTTGTTGTAGCCTAAATTGGTAAATGCCATTCGAATTCTCCCTTTGTCAAGTTCATATCCAGTGCTTGTTTATGATTATAGCTTCATATTCAGGTTTAATGACTGGTTATGATGGAATATTTAATTTCGAAGTCGGTGACGAATATTTAACAGAAGATAAAGAAGTTCATTATTATGGAATGAGAGCATTTTGTGCAATCTGTGGATCTCTTGTTATACCTTTGTTATATTCTACTGTCAAAACCATGACTGGTAGTAATGGAGCTGCTGTTATTACATCAGCATTGTTGGTGGGTATTTATATAAGAACGATTTATCTTGAGCATTAATGGATGAATGCAATAATTGAAGTGTGTGTACCAATATCGAGGTAAATTTTGTTCGCCTACTTTACATCAAGTTGTATAGAGGGACTGAAACTTATGGGTAGGGGGTATATTCAATAGGCTACCATATCCCCGGACTCGTAATAGAACTGAACTAAGGAAAATCGGAAAAAAATTATGGCCTAACTAACCCTTACCTGGTACATATACTACGCGAGTACCCAATAATGATTGATATCGTAAATCAAGACTTCCAGTTGACACCGAGTAAAAAAGCTTGGATGAACAGACTTTTATTGAAATATCTATAAAATATGTAATATATGCATTTAAAGATTTGAGAAATATTTACCGAACTGGGAGTCAGCTCTTGAGTTTTGGAACAACTGCATGCAGGCTTTCTAATTTTAAAATAGTGATTCTTCCTGTTACAATAATGCATCTGAGTAATATTCGTTGAAACTGTTGGCCACATATGCAAATAGCTCGAGGCTGCATGAAGGTTCAAATTTTCTTCAACAAAGAGGCGACTATTAGTTAGATAATAATATGTCGAATGTCGATAATACTGTTTTTTTTCTTCATTTATTCACCCCTAATAAAAAAGAGGGCAAATTGAAAGTTTTATTATAAGTTTGTTCAATGCCACGGTATGCGGTCTTTTCTGAAAGCAAACATATTATTGATAACTAAATTGAAGGCAGCCATTAACATACTAAGAACTGACCAGCTTGTACCACATAGATACCTGTAGATGAAATATAAGAAACTATCGTAACGTCGGTTTGTCCTGTTTCATTTTTATAACGTGATAATTGCTTATGATGTAATAATTTTTAAATTGTTTTTCAGATTTTGGACTGTGGTCTTATTGCTTTATCACAATATATCTTACTTGATCCAATTCTACTTTTCTTCTTGGCTGCTTCACTGTTTTGCAACACAAAGTATTCTATGGAAAAAAAAACTAAATTTGGAAGTGTGTTTAGTAAAGAAACTAAACAAAATGTAGATTTGAAAAAGAATCATAAGTTGGAATGCCACCATTACCCTGTGTTGAAAAGATTTTCTTATCATTGGTGGATGTTTCTTGCACTTTCTGGAGTTAGCCTAGGTTGTATGCTTGCTGTAAAATGGGTCGGCCTATTTACTGTTGCATTTGTTGGATGCTGGACTGTAAAAGATCTGTGGGATTTATTAGGAAATACCAAGGTTTCAATCTAATTGTAAAACGGTGCTTTACTTATTCATTAACTTACTAACATAAAACGAATAAAACTACCTAGTCATAATTTCATGAAATTCGTCGAAGCATTGTGATTGTTTTACCAAATTTTTTCGTTATTCAACATAACCCTGCCAAAATCGTGTTGAGAATATATATAATATAACATAAATTTGACACACAATATTATTTTATATGTCATTTATATATTGTTAAGGTCTTATCTCCATATATTAGTTAAAAAGTTACTTTATGTATTGCAGGAGATTTCAATGAAGGAATTTTCAAAACATTTTTTCGCTCGATCGATTTGTCTAATAATAATTCCAATATGTATTTATGCTTCCATTTTTGCAATTCATTACCAAGTTCTCAATGGGACTGGAAAACAAGATTCTGTTCATAGCTCTGAGTTTCAAATGTGTTTGAAAGGTATATGTTGCAGACAATAATTCATTATATCTTGAAATTGAAATAAACTCCTGGACTTAAAACAAAAACGCTAAAAATAAGATGCTATACTTCTTTTTCCTATACAGCCACAATTGTGAACTACATGTAAATAGCATTGTATGCTTGTTTGTTCCAGTTAATGGCAGCATTTTGTTAATGAGAAATTGGCAGGAATTTTATTTGATAGTTACTGAATTATTGTATATTATATATTGTATACTTATCATTCCAATCTTAATTAATTTCTGATTATCTAACTTTACAAAAACACAACAATTTATATTTTGTCATCAAGTTTTTGAAATAAAGAAAACTCTTTATTTCATCGAGAAATTTGAGATGCTTAATTAGTACAAAAATATGGATTTTAGGTCCTGAACTCACACATAGCCGATATAGCCATATCTATTTTCACAGGAAATCGTCTAAACAATGCATCAATGCCTATCCATGTGGCTTATGGATCAGGAATTACTCTTAAATTTCACAAGTCAGATGCATCGGGTCTTCTGCATTCTCATAACTTATCGTATCCAATTGATGTTATGCCAGACTCTCAACAACAGGTTCGCTGTTTACTGCATACTGAAGTTTTGTTGTTCATATAATATTTTCATCTTTGCTCTTATTTGACTTTGTGTTTTATGTGTCATTTTATATTTGTGTAGAAAATTATTTCACAAGCAATAATATGATAAATGCGTGTTTATTCTGGTAATGTATTCTGAATAATCAGATTTTACAAAATAATGGAAATAGAAAAATTTAGTTAATGTTGTCATTAGGCATCATTGTCTGAACCAAATTGATTTGCTATCTGTGATAACCATTTGGAGGATTTGTGCACGTTTCCATCATTTCTCCAAACTCCAGGAATAAGACAGTGCTTCAACTGTTAGAGCAGCGTTTCTCAAGCTGTGTTTTGCATGACAGGGTGCAACTGAATTGGTCGCCATGGCAATCTCGCACTTCGGCACCTGGGTCGTAAATTTGTCTGCCTTTTCAATGGACTTTTGGCTTTGAACTGGATGTCGTGATAAGCCAATTGTGCAAGTTGACCAAAGTAAATTCATTACACAATTTTTTATAATCAATTTTCCCATTCTAATTTCTTGGTGTTTTGCGAGGCGATATAAAAAGCATAAGTGTTCTGGGCCGAAAAATGTTTGGGAAACGCTGCCTTACAGCACTGAGAAACTTTGAATATGGATGTAAAGAATGTATAAAATTTAGATTTTTCAATTGAAACTGTGGAATTAGAAATTGTTATATTGTCATACTAGCATTATCATAATACTTGGTAATATTTTAGGTTACTGTATACTTTTACAAAGATCAAAATAATCTTTGGGAAGTTATAAAACCAAATGTGACAGAAGAGCAAGAAATAAATGAGGTGAGTTATGAATATTGGAATGATCTTATGTAATTAATTTTATAAAGTGCTCAAAAACGTTGTCTAGTCATGGTAAGAGAAGCGCGGATCATGACAATCTGTGGCTTGGAAAAACGATGTATTTATGAGATTGTACGTTTCTTGTGAGGGCGTGCACGAGTGTCAGATGAGCTTTTGAAATATGAGAAGCATTAGTTTTGCTTTGCATGTCTGCCAACAAGGCGAGGTTTTCAATGTAATTTAGCAAATCGTTTTCGTAATTCTAATTCAACGCATAATTTTCAGCTCAGTCCTAAAAAATGGTGAACCTACCGTAGCGCACAATTGGTTACCAATAACAACCACAATGACACATGGATTGATTGATTTGTCCAAAAAGGTTTGAAAAGTTGTATTCAACAAACAGTTGGCATAAATATTGCAGTTTTATTATGAGCATCGAAAGCAGCTCTCTGTTATCCAGTCGAAATAAAAATCATGCAAACTGGAATGAATACCCTTAATTAAAAGGAGGTTTCATCGTGTATGTGAATAGTAATAAGCTTTGCCATATATTTCCCCTTGTAAAAACTGTTAGAAATTAAAAAGCGTCACTTTTTATTATGTGCTTGCAAATTTGTATTTTATGTGAGCATGCTAAATCTTTGAACAGTATCTAAATACCAATAGATTCCAATTTATTTATGGTTGCTTGTTTTGTAGACTGATATTCTTCAAGATGGCGACATTATTCGACTGCGTCACATCCCTACAAAACTTTATCTTCATAGTTTTGCAAGACCTTCACCTATATCAACTAATAAACAGATCGTATCATGTGCCAATGGAACAAATGTAGAAGATAAGTTGAATGAGTTGTGGAAAATTGATGTTGTCAAGACAACCGGTAAGATAAGATTTTGATGAGATTACCCATGTACTCTTTTATGGGATAGTAACATACATAAGGAAGTCGGATAAAAAAAAATTCTTATTAGGCTTGTTTTACTATGTAAGGTTTGTCCTTCTATGATATTACAATAATAATTATTATTATGATCTAAATTCAAGACTGCAAGCCTAATTTTTCTTCATTATTTAATGGAATAGGCAACAGTTCATCTATTTACATGGTTTCCTATCTGAGCACTACATGAACCAACCTGAAACTCATTCAACCCAGATTAACTAATATAATGTTTATACACCTCGAGCAATTCTAATCTTGTTTGAAATTGAATTACAAAGATTAGACATTTGTTTATATTTTGGATAAATCTTCACTAATCATCAAGGATACTTTTTTATTCTCATTCAATGGTATGTTTCCAGATATAACCACTGGAAAAATCAGAGTCATTCAAACGAAATTCAGACTGATTCATGTCAATTCCGGCTGTGCTTTACACAGTAGTTTCAAGAAATTACCGGATTGGGCAGCAAATCAGTATGAGGTAGTGACTACTTGAGGCTTGCAATGTAATAATGATTAGTTTATTCAATTTGTTTGCCATTGAGATCTCAAGAAGCGATTCCATTACGAAGAACCTTATATTCATTGTTTATGAATTTATTTATTCAGTTAATTTCTAATTTCGGTTACCTTCCTTTGTGTAGCTGGAATTTGGTTGAAAACAAGTTTCAAGAAACATGAATTTTAATATAAGTGCAAGATCTAGTTGTGAAAGTGTGTGTTTTATGCGAAACAATATAGTAATCAAAATAACATTGCTTGGCCTGGGGTTATAGTGTTTTTCTAAGCTACAAGCATAAGCTATAGCACATAGAATATCAATGCACCAGCTCTAAAATTATTCTGGAATACATTCACTTAGGCTCCCATTTTAAGTTATTAGAATGGTTTAGCCTTAAATATCAAGATATTCTATTTCGAAATTTCAGCTTTAAATTTCTCGATATATGTGGACTGTTTAAGTCAGGAGTGTGCAACCTGCGGCCCGCGGGCCAAATGCGACCTGTAAGGAAAAATTGTGCGGCCCGCGGAAAGTGCCGATTTGGAATGGCGTGCGTCCGCGAAAACTAGTTTTTACTTTAGTTGATCTGGGACGTGCGAGTAATCCCAATTCCTTCGCGTTGCAAAGCCAATACCCGAGTCCAATTTATGCAAATGACGTTACAATGCCCGAAGCTAGTTTGTGCGCAGTGAAATTGCATGTCAAAAGCTCAATAACCAAAATTTGTGTGCATGCAACTAATAGAAAACTCATGCTAAAAAAAGTTGTGGCCCGCGTTTTCACCCAGTCACATGTATTGCCTAATTGTGCCTACATTCCATAAAACTTTGATATTTATTTAGGTTGTATGTTCCCATCTTCATAGAGATTTCCAAACTGCACTCTGGAATGTTGAAATACATTATCATCGGTATTTACAAAAAAGTACTTTGGCATCCTGCCAGATGACATTTCTGGAACGATTTGTGGAATCTCATTTAGTCATGGCATCAAGCAATTCTCTCATAAAGCCTACAGCTGGAGACATAGCATCAAGACCATGGCAATGGCCTTTGAATTACAAGGTTATTTCAGTGTAAATTTTAAATGAAACTCAATCTAATATTTTCTCATCTTAGTATATCTTCATCTGACGAGTGAACAGTATTCCTGAACTTTGCTTCATATGCAATTTTAATGATTATAACAATTCACTTATTTATATTATTTAGTGATTATTCAGCATTAGTTTGACTCTCTTTTCAAGTTTTGTCTTATATTCCTGTGTTCATCACATAATTAAATACCCGGAAGTAGTGATAGCTAAACTTCTTAATTTTTTTTTATATCGTGGCCTATATTATCTGTGTAATATTTTTGTTCATTCACCAGAAAGATTAACTCAATACTTGTCCATTAATCATTTTTCATTGGCATCAGAATGTGGTCTGCTGTTCATCGTTTGATGAAAATTGCATCTGAATATTAATTGGATAGGATAGGATTTACATATTTATCCTAGGAGAGAGGGAAGCCGATAAGACGGCCCATATGGCGAACCACGGCCTCTTGTCCGGTTACCAGTCCAGGTCGGGTATGAGATTAGCCAGTTATTTGTTTTCAAGAAGCCGTGAAGGAAGCCGTAACTGACCAGTGGTTACGTGAACCACCCTCTGGCGGCGAGGAGTCCAGCAATCCTCTCGAACATAACCATCCCTGCATGGGATTCGAACCTGCAAACCCATGCAGGGTAATCAGAGATGCGGTGGCGAGCGTATTCCTAACACTTAGCACAAATTGATTTAAAACTATGTTCATATCAATCCAATTTCATCGGTGGGGCATGTGTGTTGACTCATTTCGAAAGAAATGCAAGTCAAAATGCATGAGGTTACCAACAAAATAGCAAAAAGTATTAATCAGTCTGTTTGGTGTAACACTTCAGCATGCTCTTTAACTATGGCAAAATACAAGTCAACAGTTTACTAGTTGAATCTTTGACTGAAAATCTTATTGCTTTTTTGGAGTTGGTAAATCGATGTCGTATGCTGGGTGAATGTGTGAAATTACTTTCAAATTATTATCTTAAATTTTTTAGTTTTTTTATATTTTGTTCCAGCCTTTTACTTGTAATATCTATAATACCAAAAAAAAATTGTTTTAAAATTTTGTGGTTAACTCTATTTATATTTCTTTGTTTATCTTCAGGGTCAAGTGTTCTCCTTCATGGGTGAACAAGATTTGAGAGTGCACCTCCTAGGAAATCCTCTCATCTACTTCCTCAATCTTGTGGTAATAATTGTCTCCCCAGTATTCTTTGCAATTGTTCGTATTGTGGAATTGAGAGAGCTAAGCAGAGTAAAAGTAGCAAGTCTAATCCCAGAACTTTCTATAATGAAGAGTGATGTCATGAGGTTAAATTCCCACCATATCTCTGCATGTAAATGGTATTTATTTGGCTGGTTTATCCATTACGTACCATTTTTCCTAATGTCACGAGCACTTTATTTTCATCATTATTACTCAGCATTTATATTTAGTTGCTGTTTGAGTGGTTGTTTCCTGGACTTGTTATTTAATAACTGTGCCATGTCGATTTCCAAGGTGTTTCGTGGTTGGCTCTTGCCATCTACAGTACGTTTTGCCATTCACCTTATTTTTGGGATTTTGTTGTTGGAGAGCTTCTATCTTTATTCACCCTTGTGTTATGGAATGACTGGTCCCTTTTCCGACGAGAAGCATAGCATGATGTATGGTCTTAAAGTATATCATCATTGGGAAATATAATGAGGAATTGGATAGTATAAAGTCAAACTCGAGGGCAAAAATGTACAGTGTACACAAGGATCACGTTGAAGTGGAATTCATTATTGCAGTTTATGAACCCTTAAAGGGAAGTGCATCTATGCTGAAGTTATACACATTGTGTTAGTCCATCATTTTTCATTGCCTACACTTTACTAAATATTTTTAAATTATGCTGCTAGGCTAGTCTTCTATTCTTATGAACTTATACGCTCTAAAAATCGTACTGTTTAAAAGTACTTATTTTACAACCATTATTGCAATAATATCCGTGTTTTAGTGATACAATTGCCGAGTTTGATCTGGCTGCTTTGTGCTTGTTCGAACATACTGTTGAAAAGTCATCATTTTTATTTACCTATAAGGCTATATTGCTGGCAAATATTATTATTATATCTCTATCATAAATTTTGGTGTATGAGCAAATCTTTTTCACTGCGTATCTTAACCGTACTATTATGTGTGAAATTTATGGGTGCTTGCTTTATTTTATTCTTGTATGATTGTTCTCAACATCTTTTTTGAATGAATGTCCAACAGTCGGTATATGCATAAACACTTCGTTATTGTTGTCATTTTTTCGAATTCGTTAAACGCTGGGGTAAATTGACGGGTTCGATGCTGAGCACAATTTCAGCATCTTCAGTCTTATTGGAAGGTGCAATAGGTGATAGTATCATTGTTTTTACTTTGTGACTTAGCACACTGGGAATTTTATTTTTTGTTAAAGAACTTTTTTCCTGTTAAAGTTCTCCGTAGTTTTGACAAAGATAGTGAGAATATCGATAATAGCTGAAACATTGACAATTTTTACCAACACGTTATTTATATGTAAATATACGTTTTAACTTTATTCAACTTTATGATATATATGCATTTAGGCCATGGCGAAAACGATGATGAAAATATAAATACTTTCGGAAACCAAAACATTAGAAATAGGTTTAAAACGTATACATACTAGAGATGTACTGATGTATCGGCCAAATTGTCGGTATCGACTAAATGTAGACCGATATATTTAGCTTTTTAAAATGATCCAGAATGTTTTAAAAAATAAGTTAGAATACTGATGTAGAAATTGTTTTTTTCTTGGATAGATCGTGAACTATGAGCCATCACGCCATCAATCTGAAATGATGTGCAATATGAATAATGCTCAAAGACTATTGTTTAAACCAGGGGTCGCGACCCCAAATTGGGTCGGAGTGATAAATAGGTAGGGTCGCAACCAGGTCATGGGGTCGCTGAGGTATGGTAGAGGATGGATGTACAACTCTTCTAGGATTTGACAAACCATGTTGAATTTAGCGGTTTGTACCATGGCTTAATGTAAAACAGGCCCATAGGCATCACTCTATGGCTATGCTTTTGTTATTGAAAATGTAGGTGTTTATTGTGACATCACTCTTGGGTTTTAGCTTATTTTACTCAATACCACCACATGACCAAACTCAAAAGTCCAGTGAAAAAAGGTCTAAAGTTTCATGAAAAATATATATATTGACCTGGGGTCGCACTGGACACTTGAAAGTTGTCTTGGGGGGCGTCCTGAGAAAAGCTTGGGAACCCCTGGTTTAAACCCATCTATCTGCCTTGCACACTTGAGGTAAAAATTACATAGTATCGTTATCGGTTATTTTGGAATATCGGTATCGGCGACAAAAGTGGTATCGGTACATCTTTAATTTATACACAATTACCTGTAATAAAAAATGATCCAAAACAACTATATTTTTGACTTCTGTTAATGGACATGAAATAGCCTAACAAAAGAGTTAAGAAATATTGATTTAATAATATAAAACGGAACTTTTCTTCCTTTGGATGGAATATTTCATAAAATGAATTCGAAGACATAGCTAACCGGAACCGACAAGCTTTTTCGGCAGCACAGAAAGAATTTCATTACCTTGAGTACTAAGCATTGCCTTATTAATGCGCTGTCACGAACCTCCTATTTATATTATAAGGTTGAAATGATATTGAGTATTTATGAATCCCTCCATATACCGATATATTTAAGGGGTAAATTATGCCATACTGTTTTACTACGTTTATAGCTAATATGTCATCACCTTTCCGACGGGCCCATGTTCGACGTACAAAACACTAATACCAAACATATTCACCGCTTTTTGTCCATTTCTTCACCAGTTCAGCTTTTCACGGTAAGGTAATGAAATCGAAAGTATATATAAGATATTTGAGATAAGCATATTCTTCATTACCGCAACCCACTCGTTTTGCCGAAGACTGCCCTTAATTTAATTGCTTTTGTAGTAGGATCGTGATCTAAGTTTCATGATTTTCATCATGATTATTTTGATTTTACTCGAAATGTCTCTCTGATATCTCGGATAAACATTTCGGTTAAAATCCTATGACTTGGTGGTCAAGTCAATCTTATGGTGGAGATACAAACGTGGCAATAAATGTACGCAATAGAAGTAGGAGTCAAAATAAGAATTTTCACTTACATTTTTGAAATTATAATTCCGGCTGCGTGTGCAGCTGCCAGAATGCAACGTTTCTGCGTAGTTTCGCGGCGATGCAGGGAGCATTTCAATAAAAAAAAAATTGATTTAAAACATGCCCTTGTTTTAAAACACGAGGTTTTTTTCAGAATTGATAAAAAACAAAACCCTAACTCCCGTCCTTTCCACACTTTGAACTTTATCGTTCACAGCAACATCACATCAATCATTAAAATGAAAGATGTCGTGGGCTCTCGTGGCTGATGACCAGTGTTCCCTCTAAGGTAGGGGTCTCAAACTCAATTTACCTGGGGGCCGCCGAAACGGAGCCTTAGTGAGTCCGGGTCGCATCGGGTTTTTCACAATAAAATCATTAAACTTAAGAGGTTAAATCTTTTTCTTTGTTTTTTCTATACGCAAAACATGTCAAAAACATAAATGGGAGTAATATCGCGATGGACCTTTCCCCGAGCATCTACTTCCTTGTTTATTCCGTAACATGGGCTAATCAGCAGGACGCAAAAGTGACGTAACAATAGACTTTTTCACAAACGCTCAGACACTTGTCCCTCAGAAAGATTTTCAGACATGTTTGTAAACATTGCATGCTATTTGTTAGTTTTGGGTTGTGTTGTGTGACGTAACAATAGACTTTTTCGCAAACTTTCAGACACTTGTCCCTCAGAAAGATTTTCAGGCATGTTTTTAAACATTGCATGCTATTTGTTAGTTTTGGGTTGTGTTTCAGAAATTCAAGTATGAATCAAAGAACTCAATGATCATTCTGATTGCTTGGGCGTCGTAGCTTAATTGCCGTAATCAAAAATTAGTCTAGAAATAGCTGTGATAGACTAGGTTAAATTTCTCTACCGGTACTGTTGAAAAACAGGTTGTTGAAGGTTTTGAATCAAATAGATGACGTGAAACATATACCCCAGTTTATAGGCTTCAACTCGCGAAGCCACCTCTAAAATAAGCACCAAGAATTTGCAATGGTGAAGTATAAGAAAATTTTCTTTGGGTTTAAAGGTCCATCGAATATCATGCCTACAGGTACGGTACTAGTAGGTTACCGTACCGCATATTCCTCTCGGTGGATAGATTATAAAATATTTTGTTTTGCTCTACTTGTCCTGATCATATATCAAATGCATCAATCATTCTAACTGAGCTGAGTGACTTACGGGCCGCACTAACATTAAACTTTCATACCAAGGCGGGGGCCGCAAACTATCGTCCTGCGGGCCGCAATTGGCCCGCGAGTTTGAGACCCCTGCTCTAAGGTGTGCGCGCACACACATATTTCAGGGGCTGCGCACACGCATAGATTTACTGCGCACAGACGTATTTCGATGTAATGTAACAATGTGCTCGGTTGGCAGGTTGAGAAAGTTTGTTGTTGGCCCACTTATTACCCGGTTAGAACGCCAAAATTTCTTCATTGGTTTTTGCACAAATAATAGTCATTTCCAAAAAAGTGCGCACACATACTACAAAAATTAGAGAGAACATTGCTGATGACTGTCTATAATTTTCTTATGGTCTACTGCAGCGTTTCTCAAACTGTGTTCCGCAGAATACTGCTGTGGCGCAAGCTTTTTCGGAGTCTTCCGTGGAACAAGGGTTGAAAATTGGCGAGTACTTCAATGCACTGGAGATTTAGTTTTCCGGGAAACGGACATCAACTTCATGACGCCTACTTTCAGACCCAGACTAAAATTGTTGTTTAGCGACCACAGTACTAGATCCGAAGTTGTCATGGTGCTTAACCATTTAACTATCGATCGGCAAAAAAAATGAGCGACTGCTTGTTGCTGGAGCGAACAAGTGTGCCGCTGATAATGCTGAACGCTATCTGACGATTCATTATCTACGGTTTCAGAATCTGGACATTCATTAGCTTCTAACTCTGAATTCCCTCTCTTTGCCCTCGATTATAGGTGAGGCCTAACAGAATCCCATATATTCATGCAAGCCATAGGGTTTCTTTGCTGTCATGCCTGATCCTGAAGGTGGTTGGTCACGCAGATTTTTCATCAGAGCAGTCCTGAGCTTCTTCCAGGTCTCCAATTGACCACTGAAATAATTATCATCGAATAATAAGTTGAAAACTTTTGATGATCAAATAATGGAAAAGACTATTTTATTCTCAAATGGTAATGAAATTGATAGAAGTGTCGTGTTCTAAGGGGTTATTTGACACGGAGATATGCGGTTGGCCACAGATCGAGAATAAGTCAACGTTCGGGGGAATTTGTCTAGGTGGCAAAAAACTACATAAATCAGTTTTTTAGGGAAAAAAACTTACGAATAGTCGCTTGAGGTAAAAACTTTTAGGGGAGCCTAGCCTGGTAGGGTATGTCACATTTTGTATATGATAAATATTTCATGTGTATGGATGTTTTTATTTGCATCATGTGACCTTTGCATTCTACGTGATTGAGACATGCGATTATCACCTGGTAATATCTTAGGTTTTTTATGTGAGCACCGTGATTATAGACAGTAGACTGCAAATGATCAGCACGAAAGATTTGAAACCCACCTTGCTCCTTTGACCTCGATTGCCACGTTTAGAATATCGACCCATGATTATGGAAATAGCAATTTTCTTTTCTGCGAGCTAGAGTTTTTTTGTAGGCTACAAGCTAACTGGCTTTGTTTCGGTAAAAGCTGATAGTTCGGTTGCAAGTTTTTCACTCATCGTACTATAATATGGGTAGCTTTTCGGCTGCCCGGGGGGCACTTGGAAGAGGCGAGATGTCATCAAATGACTACATCTCCATAACGTTCATGCATTCTTCTTGATTAAGACACGTAATTTCCGCCATACAGGTCATTTCTTTCGATATTTTATGTGAGCATCGTGATTGTAAACTACAAACGATAAGCACGGGAGATTTAAAACCTACCTTGCTCTTTTGACCTCGATTGCCTCCCTTCGAATATTGTTTCATGATTATGGAAATAGCAACTTTCTTTCGTGTACCAGTCCGTTGTATCGCGATGTACACGTGAAAATTTTAGGGAGAAGCCACAAACGCAATAATTCATCATGAAATTTCGCGTTATGGCTTTTATTTGAGTCAGGTAGTATAATAGGGCGGGGTAAGATGGGACCCTCCTATTGAAAATTGATCATACTTTGAAAACCTTGTTTTGCAGCAGTGCTCAGTTGTTACACTTTCTGACCCAGTTTCATCAATGTTGTAAATCTTACTGGGCTTGTCAAAACTACAGAGGTCCTTCGGGACGCTTTCCGACTTGTCAAAATATTTTTGGACAGTTTGCTCACTCCATAGAAAGCATCCGAGGTATTTTGTCATTGTTACAATGTCAGAGTGCCAAGATTTGAAGCCAGCCAGTCATTCTCTTCGGCCATTTTCTGAGACTTTGGAAATTTGTTCATGATGCCATGGAATTTTCCCCGACTTTTGACCCCCGAAAAATTCTTCCTATACTTTACCATTGCAAAATTTTCGGGGCTATTTTAAGAGTGCTTTTGGAGGTTGGCGCCTGTAAAATGAGGTATGTGTTTCGAACCATCATTATGATTCATCGCATACAACAATCTGTTTTTAAAAGTACCGGTAAAGAGTTTTAGCCCAGCCTATCACAGCTATTTCTACACCAATTTTTTATCACTGCAATTAAATTAAAACTCCTAGGAAGACAGAGTGATCATTGAATTATCTGATTTATATTTAGGTTTCCGAAACACAACTGAAAACTAACGAATAGAATTCACGAAAACGAGATAATGTTTACGAACACGCTTGAAAATCTGTCTGAGTGAGAAAAGTGTCTGAGCGGATGCGAAAAGGAAGTATTGTTACATCAAGCAAATTCTCGTATGGAAATCCTCTCTGTACAAATTCGAAACTAAGATCAACAATATTGTCTTCCGCATTACTTGGGAATATGGAACTATGGCCGAGATATTTTGATGTCATTGCCTTCTTAACAGATCGATACAAATGCCTTTGTAGGGTTGTTCTTGGAACTTTGTGAATACGCGATACACTCCTTAATTTCTCCCGTTCAAAACATGTTGCACTGCCATTCTCATTCCAAATTCTACACAGAAACCTCTAGTCTAGTCTAAATAAACTATCGATTGATGAATTGGAATTATCGACATAATAGTAGCAATCAGTTAGTGTGATTAGTAGCACTTCAACATGTTTTGTGGGCAATGATAAAATTCGTTTCGAATATTGGGTGACTGTTGTGTTGCGCAGGTATTCAATCAATTTCTTATGCCAGGAAAACGTGTGAAATTACTTTCGAAGTAAAGTAGAAACTTTAATTTCAATAAATGTTCGGTATACGCGTATATTACATTTATTAGACACAAGTTGCTATACTTTGATATTTTCAGTTAATATCATTTTATATTTTCTTGTGTACTTTCAAGGTCAAGTCTTCTCCTACATGGATGGACAATATTGGAGAGTTTTCTTGCTAGGAAATCCTCTCTTCTACTTTCGAATCCGGTGGTAGTGAATGTGTTTCCAATATACTATGTTTCTATGTTTATCCGCCATTGGGTTATGGAATGCCAGTCTGTACAAGGTTTTGAACCTCGAGGTCGGTAATGAAGTCGTTGGTTCCCGTAAGCATCATTTGCGCTAACTTTGCATACGAATTAATGTGATTCCTAATAGCCAGGTTTCCGTTTATATTTTATTTGTACAATGAAATTGAGTAATGACCAATTTTTGTTCTGTTCAATTCCAGCCTGTTATACTTGAATAAATGATGCATAACCATTACAATTTCTCTAATTTTTTTTTCGTGAAATTATCTGAGGTTGACACAAATCTGGTCTTCTGGTAGCACCTAGCCGCCTGACTCTATTAGCAGACTGCTATCAGGATTGTCGACTAAAAATAATGTATTCAGTTTAAAAAGGGTTACCATCAATTTCATCGCATAATATCCTCTACTGACCTCCTATTTCGGTCACAAACGGTGTGACAGTTGATCCAAAGCCAATTGGCGGCTCACTGGTGTGTACACCAACCATGGATGATAACACAGATAAATGTTTATTCAAATACTATAAAATTATGTTTAATAATTGCAATCACTAAGATAAAAAAATTAGGTAAAAGCAAATTATTGCGCAAAACATGGCAATCATAAAATTATGTAACTTAGTCAAGAAGCTCATGCATGGCCGGAAATAAGGCCAATTCAACGCAACGGACCTGGAGCTTTCTCCAGACTTCGACGTTTCTGTACGAATGTTGTTGTATTTGGCCTTCAATCGCTTCCACTTATTCTTCGCAGTCACACTATTCATGCAACATGAAAAAAAATCTGTATTCTTATTTGTACTTATTTTTGCAACGAGTATAGAAAATTTATTTGGAAAACAAAGCTAACATCTACATTTCTGTATATTGCTGCAAAACTTACACATCTATTTCTTCATACCCCTTCTTCACTAACATTTAGGGCTGCCAACCGTCCTTTATTTTAAAGGACAATCCTTTATTTGAGATTTTTGTCCTTGTCCTTTTTAAAATGATAATTGTCCTTTATTTTTTCCAATATCGATAGTTATAGTACTGTGTTTGATACGGTTCCGTTCTTAAATCGCTTCCGTTTATTTGAAGCTTTCAATTATTCTTTTTAATTTCGCTTTGGTCCGGCTCAAATAGCCAAAGAAATACCAATTTTATTAACATTTCAAATATTTTATGCAACTGGAAATTTAGAGCTTGATTGGGTCAGTGTTAAATAAACATTAAATGAAAAACACAAGAAGATTTTTATATCTTTTTAGCTTGTATATAAAATTTGTATTTCATTGTTTTATATTGTTCTTTTCTGCAAGTTACAAAATAAATGATGACGGTAATCTATGTCCTTTATTGATACTTTTCATAGTTGGCAACCTTACTAACATTCTTGCCACCTCCTTCATCACCTCCACATTCATCACCGCAGTGCTGTCATATTTTTCACCAGTTTAATGGCATCAATGAGATCAAATGTCGCTTCTGGTGACCAATTAAACATTCTAAACAGAACTCAATTACCTGTCATCAATAGGGCAACTATCACACCATCTAACTTTGCCCTGCCAATCTGTAGCCAACTGGTCCAGCGAGGAAGCAATTATCAAATACTTAATATTACTTATTGCAAAATGTATACATTCCACACACAAAATCTTCAGTCTTTTCCCAATCTTTGCCTAAAATTGTATTGTTTTTCATGTAATCGTAAACATTGAGTCCCAGGGTTTTTGAAGCAACAGTCATAGTCTTGGTTCCAGTTTTTGGAAATCCGACTGATATCACCTTCATATTGCTGCTTCGTGTTTGTAATGTTTCATGATTGCCAAGTCACATACACATAGTCGACAAACCAGCAAATGCTAAGTTAAACATTGACCAATTTAGGTCAATTTACATAACGACATTCATTTCAATAATGAATAAAAATGATTGTATGGTTTGCTTTCCAGAATTTTGTTTTTCTTTTCCAATATTTGCGATGTAAGCGTTCAGATTGTGCGCAGATTACGTAGCCTATGTGATGAAAAACGTCTACAAAATTCTAAAGCCTTTCAATAATCAGAAAATTGTTGGAATGGATAAAGACGTGTGGGCATGAAGCGTTATCTATATCCCTATTTTTTTAAAATCAAGTCCGAGGGTGTAGCCGGCCAAAAACAGGCTTTCCGCGGCTTCCCTTCCCCAGTAAAGTTATATTCTTGTTATATTCGCGTATTTTTGTATTTGTATCATTCATTATTTTGCTGACTGGAAAAAAAAAAATTGGGTATGATTTCTGTAGTCTTCCCGACTTTGATTGACCACCTGAACAGAGCGAACGCGAAATCGCCACAAGGTACGCAATTTTTAATTTTGATGACGTCATCACACACAAAAAAAAACGAATCTCGTAGAAAACGTGGAATTTTCGAACTAAATAAAAGCAATAGCCTTCTAGTAATAACAACAATCTTTAATCACTGTATATTCCAAAGCAATTGGTCCAGTATTTATTACGAAAAGCGATTTTTCTCACAATAACACCAAAAAAAATATAAACAACAATTTACCAAAACGAGCCATAGGTTCACTTTGTGTCAAAGAATAGCAATTATACTCTTTCCTGAGGCACACGATTTCTATCTCCTGTAATTCGGCCAAATTTTACAACCAGTTACAGTCATAATACTCCATCACAATAAGCAATGGAATTTAATTTTGCGCGACACGTTTGTGGTGTTGTCTGTTGCTGGAGATTCCACGCCACTGTCGGGCCGTTTCTGTTGCCCATGAGAAATCACAAATCAAAGAGCACTGTTGCTTTTGGGGTGTGTTATGGTCGCCAGCGTATGGATCAGAAGTGGCCACATGAAATTGTACATCACAAGGTACCTATCTATTCCCATCCTTACGCAAGAGTTTTTGTGTCGTTTTACTGATGATTATTTTATTACAAAAACTACATTTGGTTAAAGATTTATAATGTGATTATTTCCATCTTTCAAACGATCTCATATATTACTAATATTGCTTTTAAAACGGCTTAGGCCTCTAATCTTTCTTCGGATGCTTCTTCTTGGGTGACTGAAACAGTGACGTCTCCGGCAGAAAACCAGGAGTCTGCCTCGCTAGAGTATTCGATACTGAAGTGTACCTAGAATCGAATAATTAAAATAATATTATAAAAAGAAAAGAAAAAAAATTACATGAATAGATAGAATAATAGTATTTAAAAAAAAAAACCTGACTTCGTTTTGATTTCTTTTAATGTGTTTGTTGTTACTTATCGATTTTAATCGGTAAGTATGTTGATAGGTATTTGTCTGTCTGTATGTCTGTTAGATGCACGCGATATCTCACGAAAGCGAGATTGAATCTGCTCCAGATTTTGCATGTGCATTCATCTTATCTCGGACCAGAAGCCTATTGATTTTGGGCGAATTATGTTGTATAATTAGCGAGTTAATAATTAATTAATGGGACACAAGGTGTCACTATGGAGCAAGAGTGCTGTTCTGGGGAATCCCCTAACTTTCGATCGATAAGTCTTCGGTCTCTGACCGATATTCTCGTTTAATTGTTACTCATCGATTTTAAGATCGGTAAGTATGCTGATATTTGGTATATAGGTATTTGTTTGTCTGTCTGTTAGATTGACGCGATATCTCACGAAAGCGAGGTTGACTCTGGTCCAAATTTAGCATGTGCATTCATCATATCTCGGACTAGGAGCCTATTGATTTTGGATGAATTATATAATTAGCGAGTTATTAATTAATTAGTTATGGAACACGCGGTGTCACTATTGAGTCAAAAGCGAAAGATACGCGCCGCTAGATCGATAAGTCAGCGATCTCCGATCGCTATTCTCGTTTTGTTAATTTACATAGTATATTTAAAACTAAAGTGATGACAATGAGAAACTATTTAGAATCTCGCACCCCCGTTCATAATTTTATTTAACACAATTTGTAGAAAGATACCTCGGTGTGATCATCAATGCCTTCTTCATTCTTGAATCCTGAAACTGTGTATGTCGTACCATCGCCATCAACAACTAGATCGCTGTCTGCACCAGTGATCTAAAAATGGGTTTGAATAGTGTGGTTAGTTACAGAAAAAAAAATGATACTGAAAAAATAAAAAGATATATATATATATTGGTATAATATCTTACGTTGAATCTGGCAACTGCTACTGGAAGAGTGATGGTAAGTACGTCTCCCTTGTGGAATCCGTCTCGTTTGAAAACATTGGAGCTGGCTTCTTTTCTGAGGTCGTTTTGGGGGAAGGAGTAGACGGACACTGAGAAAAAATTACCTTGTTTAGTATGTTAGTTACAAGAAATTAAACTTTTAATATGTTAGTTACAAGATATTTTTGGGTATCACACTCACTACGAAAATAGTTTGAAGAATTTGTTGTACTGCATGTATACGTCTTCATCAAGTAACAGTATTTACAATTATTAATTAATTGACACGAATCAACAATCAATTACGGCGATGAAATTCAAATACGGAATGTAGCGTTACAACAGTTCAGTGTTGTTGTTGACTAGTCCATGCAGTAATTTAATTTAAAACGCAGAGCAATATACGTTTGGTTTAAACTTACAGTCTTTTACATCGCTTGGGTCACATGTAAAATCGATATCGGTAAGATTGAAAATTTCATCCCGGTTGAAGATAATGAGGACAGTTATAGTTCCATTGATGGCTTCCCATTCTGCTGGGGCTGCAATTTTGTAACTGCCTTCAATAGGGCTGCTGTCTCCTGGGACAATATGACCGTTCGTTACCTAAAACAGGATAATATAAAAATTATTTATTATAGAAAAATTTTATATAAAAAATTTTCTGCCGTGTTCCATCTCTCTTACTTCATTTTATAAATCTACCTTCAGGGCAAGAAACAACGTGTCCCAGTAATCTGCCTTTTGTAGTGTATATTTCGGGAAATAATGTTGGATGCATCTACACAATTTTAGCTGTTTTTCTTTAATCTTATATATACATATTTAATCACCTTGCAGCCAAACTTTGTCGTATTGGTTTAAAAATATAAACATTACACTCACGTGGAAAAGACTGACGGCGTTTGGGAGATTAGCCCTGCAGCTACCATCTTCAACATCGGAAACAGCAAAATTGACGAGTGCACCAGCGTTTGAGTCTTCATTTTGTGGCCATTCAGTTCTAGCTAGTTCTAGCAAAGATAATGCAACTCCATTTAGGTAATTAAATAATTTTCTGTCATGATTCAATAATAAATTGATAACAATTTACTGGAATTTAGAATGAAATATGAATATATTGTCCTGTCGGCGCGGGTAGAGTAAATCATATTGTCATGCTTATTGTTTGTGTATATATTGTTTTTATGTATGCTTATGTGCATAATTGCACGAAGCTTTGAGTCTCATATGATATAATTCTATCTACCTCCATTCGGATCCTCCCCATCTTGTCCGAAAACACCTCCCAATAGAGCAATGATGGCAATTATAGCAATCTTCATGTTGTCTACCTATGACATAAAACGATAAGTTTTGAAGAAAAAGGAGTTTAGTGAAATTACAATGATAAAGTTATTCATGAAAATATATTGTTTTAGTTTTCCCAGTATCCCCTCAAATCTTAACTTTCGATTCCAATTTCAATTTGTGCTCACCTCCGTGACTATGTATGTGTACGTATGTGGTGAGGGATATTTTTACACTGAGCATACCCGCGAATCTGAATTGCCATTATTTTTACCACATATCAATTTATAATTATGTTTCAATTAAGGTATTATAACCAATATTCTAAAGCAAAAGTTCTTACTTAAACCGGAACACATCAGTTTCAACTGCGGACATAAATTGACGCAATAAATTGTAAATATAATGCAAAGATGAATAACATAGTATGTTATACAGAAAATCACGCAGTTTTTAAGTTTTTTTATTCAAAATCGGCCATACTTTGCGCTTCTTTTGATTAAAATATATTTTGACGTAAAGCACTTAGTATAGATTTCATGTATCCTATAAACACAAGAAAATATGTGTCCAGCTTTCTAGTTCTTATATCAAATATATCGACGAATTAAACGACTATTTACTCAAACTACCAACCTTTTCTATTTTGCAAGTCTCAAAATAAAAAATATCCAAATGCTTGGAATCCCGGCTGTATGTTGCAACAATCGGCGATTTCCTAACTTTCGTTTTGAACGAGTCAGACTTGTGGAGAAATGAGCGGATGGAAGTCGTATTTATACGAAACTCGAGCTCAATTTTTCCTTTTTCTAAAAAACAACAACATGAAATAGGACTCTTTTCTTTAAACAGAGCTGACGTTGTTCAACGTGATAATTGGACGAAACGTCATGCGGGAAGACTAAACGGCTGTGTTCTCTGCCCCGCAGGCAAGACTAAACCAGAACCCAACATTAGGTCCAAGTTGATTGAAAAAATTGATTTGAGCATAATTTTGTTGCCTTTGGTCAATTTGTCTTGCATTCTCAAATTTTCAATTGCGCGCGATAGACCATGTTAAATTTTTTTTTATGGGATGCTTCCCCCAGATCCGAATCTCGTCCCATCCGTAAATTTTGGACGAAAACCAGAAACGCCGATAACCATTACATCAACACTCAAGCCGTATTCTTACTTGTATTATGGAATCTTCTACTCTCATAATTAATTACTTCGTATGCAAATAATTTACATACTGATGACATTATATTGATGGGCAAGTCGCTAATTATTAATGAAATGGGCATTGCACCATTCCACTTTTTTCTCAAATATTCGGTATAAACTAGATCCGACGCAAACCTGAAATGTTCTATGTCGAAGGATTAATTGTATCCAAACGCCATCGAATTCTGTATAGGTGTAATTCAAGGTAAAGCCAGCACGCAATGTCATTTAGTTGGATATCAAGACCACGGCTATGACATAGATTGTACACGTCATCATGCAAACACGAAATATTGTAGATCTTCCACTTTCTGAGAATGAAATATTACACAATATTCTGTGGGAAACCATCGTTATGCTATAATGGATTCCATAATTTTACTACCATGACTGGCTTGATATATCAGGCAAGATCATGTTGATCTGCAATCCAATAAATATATATATATGGTTTCTAAAACACATATAAACTACATATTAAAAATCAACTTGATGTTGATGTATGTGCAAACCTTCAGAAATGATTTTTTCTCGTTGTAGTTTCCCACAGTCTTGGCAAGGATAGTAACAGCATTGATAATAGCTGAAACATTGACAATTTCTACCAACACGTTATATGTAATTAAGTGGTGTTTAAGATAATCATTTGAGCGATAGACGAATGACATAAACGAAGATGAAAACATGAAAAACAAAAAACTATGAATGAGCCCAAAACGTACACACACAATGAATAATTTTTCTAAATATGGCTGATTGTTGACCTGTATTAATTGACACGAAGTCGAAACAAAAGTGTTATCGGCATTTTTAAGAAATGTTGATTGGATATCTAGAACGAAACTTATTTTTCATAAAATGAAGTGAATTCGAATACATACTAACCAGTATCGACAAGCTTTTATGCCTGAACTTCCATAATTTCTAAATAACATCAAATGAAACGAATTATTCAGCGAAATTGATTGCTAGCTAAGTTTACAGCATAGAGAAAATTTCATCGCCTTGACATACAATGGAATAATACCTTACTAATGCGCTGATATATTACATAGCTAATATGACATTACTTTTCCAATTGCCCTCTTCGACGTTCAAAATACGTTAATGCACTCACGGCATCTCTATAAATATCCCTCTACAAATACCATACATATTCGTCGTTTTGCGTCCATTTCCAGCTTTGCTCGGTAAAGTAATGAAGTAGAAAATATGAGATATATATTCGTTATCTACATAATGATATTAAGATTGGCAATTATTGTAAATTTTCAAAATGTAAAGTAAACGTGAACAAATATCTACCTACCATCTATACAATCGTGAAAAATTTGCATTAACGTCTGTGACAACTCAATATGTAATTTATTTCCCTGTTCCTCATACAATGTATCTTGCATTTCTGTAACTTTTGAATCCTTCGTGAGCTCAGAACGTTGAACATCTATAGGAACTCGTGTAGGGATTTAGAACAATACATAGTCAAATATATATCGGTAATTTAAATGCGAGATTAAACTTATTCCCGTAGAATTTTCGTACATTGCACCTCGTACACTACAGCTCATCACTACGCCGAATTTTATTGGGCACGTCAGTGGACATAACTATCGTTTCAATATTATGTTGTTGTTGTTCTGTGACACGTTTTTTAAAATTCGCTTTTCTCTTCGATTACCGGACCAATTGCTCTGAAATTTTCAGTGCTTGAAGAAAAAAATTTTTTTTAGAAGGCTATCCGTTTCATTTACGTCAAACGTGTCCATATATTTGAGCATAGCTCGCTTGTTTATAATGAGGAATTCCACTAAAAGACATTTGGATTTATTTACTACTTTCTCTGACACTGTTTTTATCTAACACCCTAGTTCGCAGTTGTTTACGTCTATTCAATTATTGGTTTGCTTTAAAACGGCTCGTGTAATCGTGTAAACAAATCCGAAAAGATAAACACAGCCCAATCATGTCCGTTTCAACAGTTTTAAATTAGAACCCACCGCACCCGCAGTTTGTTTATTACATGTCAGACGCCCGAACGATAACACAGTTCGTGTTTTTATCTTTTTGTATTATGTTTGTGAGTGTAATAAGGGTGAACACGCAAATGTATATCTACGTGGTATACACCTTACTAGAGGTTTTGCATGCTTTCCCGATTTTCCCATTATTCTTTGTGTTTATGTTTTGTGTGTTCATTATTTGTTCTGTGCCTGTTTTTTGGGGGGGAAATCAAAAAGAAGTTATTGTATTATGAAAACAGAAAAGGCTAATGTAGTTAAATGTTGTTATGCGTTGTCTCTGCATAAACAGTTTGTAATGTAACATGATATGACCCTGTCATTTCGCAACGATTTTAAAATATTCATTTAAATTTAATGTCTTATTTTTGTTTTTATCTGTGCGTTTTTTTTTTGGTATTATTTGTTTTAGAAATATTGACCTTGTCAACTACAGACCTGTTTACGTGTGATAAAGGTTTTTCTGATATTTGTTTTTACGAGTGTCCGTGCACAGAATTTACCAGCATAGTTTTGATTTAAGCTTGTATGTATGTTGAACCACTTTTTCACCAATGCCCAACCAGTATAGTTGTTTATAGCTTTTGTCTATCCTTGTCAGTCACCTTATCATTACATTCTACATGTTATCTTTGTATGAGATTGAATTGGTCCTTTAAAAGTACGGCAGCTCGAAACTTCGATACTTTTGCGCGGTGTCCCCAAAATGGGATGTACCACGTACCCCACTTGTACCACGTACCCACTTGTATCACTTGCTCCACGTGTCCCACATGCACCACGTGTCCCACATGTGCCATTTGTCCCACTTGTACCTCTTGTCCCACATGTCACACTTAACGGATTGTGATGGTAAATAATTATGATGATAAAATAATTAATCCAATCGAGTTTCATTGTACTAAAATAGATTTTACGTCGTGTGATTATAACGGTTATATCTTTAAAATAATCTGAGTGGCAGCATTGAGCGGATCTGTGTTACAAGTACAGATTTCTCTAATTCGCAAAATGGCAAAAATACAGATTCTTAACGGCGATAACGAAGTGCAAAATTGCAAACATACATATCAAAACTAAATACGAGAATATCGGTCAGAGACCGAAGACTTATCGATCGAAAGTTAGGAGATCCCCCAATACAGCGCTCTTACTCCATAGTGACACATTTGTGTCCCAACCCTAATTAATTAATAACTCGCTAATTATACGACAACATTCATCCAAAATCAATAGGCTTCTGGTCCGACATATGATGAATGCACATGCAAAATCTGGAGCAGATTCAATCTCGCTGTCGTGAGATATCGCGTGTATCTAACAGACAGACAGACAAATACCTATGAACATACTTACCGATTAAAATCGAAAAGTAATAATTAGACAGTTTATCTCATGTGTTTATGTCCGCATATTACATCTGTTTTTTTTAGAGTAGCAATTTATTTAAAAGTCGGCACCGCGAGTTACGTTAGACACAATTAGTTAATTACCATGGATTGAATATTATACGCCACAGAAGAGTCTCACTGGAAAAGTCGTTTTTTTAACGAGCGAATAATCACGGCGACTGTTTTATGAGGAAAACGAAATATATATAGACAAAATATCTGGTGAATGAAATGTATGATAAACGGGATTCGTGTGGACAAAATATTCGGCGAATGAGATACATGTGGACAAAACCTCTTAACGAAATGTATGAAGAGAAAACATTTCGCGAATGAGCTGTTGTTTCATCAGGGAAACGAGATGTATATGGACAACATATATGGTTAATCAGATGTATGTGGACAAAACCCCTGAACAACATGTATGAAAAGAGAACACTTCACGAATGAGCTGTTGGTGGACAAAACATCTGTTAAATGGTATGTATGATAAATGCGATACATGTAGACAAAATACATATATATTGTACATGTGGACAAAACATTTGATGAATAAGATGTAGGTGTAAAAGTCATGTGATTCCAAACCTTATCCGTTAAACTTCTCCCTTATCAAATCTTTCAACCTTTTTATTCTTCCCCCACTATGCATAAAAACTACTGTATTAATTTAATTCTTAGATCTTTGTTTATTGCCCTAGTTGAAAACCCGATTTTGTACAGTTCCAGTATTTTCTAATTGAATGTGTGCATTGTTTTATAGTAGGCAGAGCGAACTTTGGGAAATCAGTAATGCTACAGCAAATACGAAGCCGATTCCTTCTCAAAAGAACAAAGTTCCCCGCCAGGGATGAATTTTTTTCCCCAGTTTGGAGAACGTGCCCCCAATGAATGAGATATTTGTAGACAAATTACGTAATAAATATTACTATCTTTAGCTATAGTATATGCTCAATCAGTCAATGCTCAATTGAAGCAATTCGTTTATTTTTGTTAAAAAGACGCATTTGTAAAGCAGACTAATTCCATCAAAAACATGACTTTATGTTCTTTGTAGTGAATGCGCCAAAAATATATGATCACAATGATTTAAGAAATTGTGATTGTAGTATTTTTTCAATTGGGCTAGTATCATTAAGTACGAATGACTTGAAGATGGAAAAATAAGGGAACATAGAAATAAAAAAAAATTGGTATAAAATAGTAAAAGCAATTGATGCTTGCAATAAAATAACAAACATCTCGGCAGAAAAAATATAAGGTATTGTAGTTACATATAAAATCGGAGAGAAAAATGCAATAAAATGATAAAAATATCATAAAATAATATGGTAATATTCATGTTAGATGGGGCAATCATTTTTTGGTTCGATAGATAATGTCAACATCTAATCAGGACATTATTGACTTTTACATATCATATTAGTCTACAAACTACCTGTATCTACTAACCAGTATCGACAAACTTTTTTGCCTGAACTTCCATAATTTCTAAATAACATCAAATAAAACGAATTATTTAACGAAATTGATTTCTAGCTAAGTTTACAGCATAGAGAAAATTTCATTGCATTGAGTAAAAATTAAATAATGTTTTACTAATGCGCGGGTATGAAACTCCAAACTCATTTATATTACGGTTGAAATTATATATATTGAGTATTTAGGAATCCTTTTATATACCGACATATCACCGTTTTCTGTCCATGTCTTCGCTAGTTCCAGCTTCACTCGGAAAAGTGCTGTAAATTAATGAAATCGAAAATAAGATAATCGTTAACGAAGTCCTACCAAACTTTGCCAAAGGGCAGCAGGGCTCGTCTGCTCCTCGACGGAGCAGTGCCATAAAATCAAAAATTAGTTCCATGATATTCAAATATCAATCACCTGATTGAGAAAAATTCGGATTTCGATAAAATCGAAATTTGGGCTCTAACCTCTAATATATGCAGGCTTGTCCATGGAAGATTTTTTTCTGTCCCATCCCCACCCCATAGCAATTATGCCTGTCTCATCCCATGGGATACCCATTGGAATAAAATTCAATAAAAATTGTTGAATTTAGGTTTAGCGTCTACTAAATAGGACTACATGTACAACTAGACATACAAAACAACAAAATTTACGGACTTTGTGAACTTTATATTGATAACTATTATACATTGTGTCCATCAGCCCCTTCACGAAGTAGGCCTTTATTTTTTAATGCTGAATATATTTTGCTCTTTATAACTAACAAGAGAGCTATGCTCAAATATATGGACACGAAATCCATAACGAAATGTTTTAGCATCAGTTCCCCGAAAATAATACGGTTTTCGTGTTCCACATGTTCCATGGGAATACAAATACTGTATGTGCTATCCCATCCCATGCACAAGCCTGAATATATGACTTCACAATGGAACATTCGTAAACAAGTTTCCGGCTGTGTTGCAACAATGAGTGATTATCGGTGTAAGTCGTATCACGTATAGTCTTGCCAAAATGTAGCCGTTGAACTACTTCTGCAATCAAGTTTTCCTATTTGACCTCGTAGAGTTATGAGTATATTAATTTGTTGCAAACATTTTTTGGGTGATTCTATATTAATCTATTCGGAGTGAAATGTCTTTGGGAAGAATAACTTGGTGTATTTTGGGCGGAATGGGTTGCTTTCTGTCTACGTTTTTCTAAGGTTAGTGTTCCGGCTAGTTTTGTACTGGTGGTTGTCTGCTACGATGCCTTTACGGAAAGCAAAGTCACTTGTGTGTCAATATTTTAAAAGACGGATTAAATGCTGAATGTGGCATTTGTGCCAAAATAATTACTGGTGGTAAATGAGAATCCTCATGTGCGACAGCGAATAAACAAATCTTCAAAATGTTTTGTTTATGAATTTAAGTATATCCTCCTATATTCCCATTTGGAACAGAGGTGATTTGCATC